TCTACGGGCAAGATGTGACCCGAGCTGGTCTTTAAAATCCTCACTCTAGCAACGGTGGCAAACAGGCTGCAGGGCATGAGAGGAGAGACAGGGAGCCTACTCGGGAAGCTGACGTGGGAATCCAGATGAGGTGAGTGTTGGGGAATGTTCTGGAGGTAAAGCCAACAGAACTGGCACTGGGCGCTCGGTATTTAAGGTAAAGAAAGAGGAATCACAGAAGAATAGGAAATGTTGTCCAGCTTGAGCCACCGGATGCAGTTTTCTTAAATGGGGAAAACGGAGAGAAGAACAAGACTGGGGGGAACATCAGGGCGTCTGTTTCAAAGCCTATTACACTTGAGATGCCTGTGATAAATCCACGTGGAGATGTCTAGATGTTGAAGGTAGGAGGGGACTTCAAAAGGTTCATGGAAGAGAGAATTACAAGATAAGCTTATTTTGGTGCAAAAAAAAAAAAACCCACAACTTTTGCAATCCACGCATATAAGGGAATATTCATGGAATATGGAAAAGTGCATTATAAAAAAATAATCACGCTTGGGCAGCAAACAGCCTCTCGCTGTCCTGTGCTCCCTTGCAGTGGAGTCAATAAATCTAACTCTGCTCGCTCTGCCTCACCGCCCTGGTGAATTATTTCACCACCCATGACCTTGGCCTCAGCATTCATCCTGGCCCAGCCCTGGCTGCTGCAGCCGTCTGGGGAATGGATCAGTGAATGGAAGAGTCTCTCTCTCTCTCTCTCTCTCCCTCCCTCCTTCTCTGTCACTCTGCCTGTCACTTAAGTAAATAATTTTTTTTAAAAGCATGCTTGGACTTCAATATAGTTTTGCAGCAAAATAAGCTTATCTTTTAATTCCAGGTTTTTCCCACAAACACTTCGAAGTGCCTGCTTGTGATTGTCCACCTCAGGACAGCAGAAGTGGAGTGGGAGTACAAAAGTTAGAAGGCAGCAGCCTGGAAATGCTGCTTAAAGCCACAGCCGTGGATACGCCCACCTAGGGGAGAAGGGCCAGGATGGAACCAGCTGGAGCGCAGGAGTACAGAGAGGGCTTGGCCGCTGGGTCTGAGAAGGAGCCAGCAGTCTGGGGGGGATGACCAGGGAGATCGTGGTGTCGGAGAGGGCCTGGAAGGAGACAGGCATGTCGGGAAGATGGGAGCCTCCACGAGGTGAAATGAGGTGCTCCTAGCAATGCTGCTCATGGCTAACGGCTACTGAGCACTGCCCCGTGCCGCCATCTGTGCAAGCCACTGTGGCAGTGTTTGGAAAAGCCCAAGGGTGGAGAAGGACCCACTCGCTTTGGTCAGGGCAGGTGATTAGCCTAGCCATGCAGGTGCTGGTGTCCCACACCAGAGTCCTTAAGTCTTACGCTGACCCAACTAGGCAGCAGGATGGTTCCTGTCACACTCACAGGAGGTCTGAGCAGCGTTCCCAGCTCTGGCCCAGCCCCAGTCATTGTGGGCATTTGGGGAGTAAATCAGCAGATAGGAGCTTGTTCTCTCTCTCTCTCCCTCTCCCTCCTGCTCTCTCTCTTTCTCGCTGACTCTCAAATCAAATAAAAAAAAAAAAAAGTCATGCTCAGGATATACCTGTAATTCAAAGTTAGGACTTGCTAATGGCTTGACTCAGGGTATGGGAATAAATCAGGTGTTAGAATGATGGCATGCCTTAGGACAGAAGAAGCCTTGTGTGCACAACACATGTTCAAGCAAGGATGCTAAATAGGCTCTGGAGTTCAGAGGAGAAGTTGAGGCTATCGATAAAGTCACCAGCCTATAAGTAACGCCATGTAATTGATGACATCACCCAGAGAATAAGAAAAGCTCTAAAGGAACCCGAGAGGCCTCAGACATCAGGCGTTTCAGCCTGAAGGTTGGCAAGAGAAGGGTCCAGCCAAGGAAACTGAGTCAGGAACAATCACTGAGGCAGGACAGTGGAGGGAGCCGTCTCCCCGGAATCCAGTGAAGAAAGATTCTAAGAAAAGAGCAACTGTGTCCGCTGGGTAGGATGAGGATGAAGCGCTCACACCAGATCTGGGGCAGAGTCATTGTGACCTCAACACAAGCAACTTCAGCTAAGCGAGGGATGGCAGCCTAGTTCCAGTGGTTCTCAAGAGAGTGGGAACAGAAGACATACAGATGGTAATTTCTGGACAACTCTTTTGAGAATTTTTTCTTCTAAAGAAGAGCAGAGAAATAGGAGTGGTACTTGGAGGGGCACACGGCATTAAGGGAAAGGTGTTTTATTTTTAAGAGTTGAATTATTGTGCACGCGTGAATGCCACTAGGAATGATCCAGAAAGTCTGCGAGAGCAACGATGCAGGAGGGGGGATAATCTTGGGGACAATAAGAAGTTAGGTAGGGCTGGTGCTGTGGGTTAAATCAGGTTAAAGCCCTGGCCTGCAGCACCAGCATCCCAGATGGGCGCTGGTTCAAGTCCCGGCTGCTCCACTTCCTATCCAGCTCTCTGCTCTGGCCTGGGATAGCAGTGGAGGATGACCCAAGTCCTTGGGCCCCTGCACCCATGTCAGAGACCCAGAAGAAGCTTCCAGCTCCTGGCTTCAGATCAGATCAGCTCAGCTCTGGCCATTGCAGCCATTTGGGGAGTGAACCAGCAGATGAAAGACACCTCTCTCTTCTACCTCTCTCTTTCAAATAATTAAAAAAAATAATCATTAAAAGAAAAAGGAAACTAAGTAGGATGGGATCCAATGTATGGACTAACGGGATGGCCTTTAATAGGAACAGGATAGCTTATCCATTGTGAACAAGAGAAAAGGACAGATGCTGGAAGCTTGGCAAATCCCATGTTGGAAAGAAAGGAAGATCTAGTGTGATTTCCCCTTTGCTGGGGTGGGGGGATCGTCGGTGAGGAGCGAGGAGGGAGGAAGGGACATCCGGGAAATGGACTAGGAAGAGCACTGCTGTGACCAAGCCCCGCTGAGAGCCCTGAATTGCGGCATCAGGCCGCACAGTTGTTTGCCTCTGCCATCGTTATCTAACCAGGCAAGAATGATGGAGAGAGAAGCAAGGGAGTTCAGGACATATGCAAGGCAGTGGTTCCACGGGTGGCTAGGAGGAGCAGGACACCCAGTAGTGACAGGTACAGAAGAGGAGCAGGGCCAACGGACTACAGGTCCACTTGAAGTTGACATTTTGCTTTAGCCAAAGGAGGGCAATGGAGGGGGAGAGTTGGAAATACACAGCCTGGAGATGAGAGTGCTTGGAACATTCTGGAAAGTGTGTGGCCATTGACAAGGGATGGGGTGAAAAATGAGATCATTTGGGGTGGGGAGGTGATACATCCACGGGACGCTGCCACCCCCACGTAGGACGCAGCACTGGTGAACAGAAACACGGTAAACTAGAGCAGTTTCCGGACGTGGAGGGGACAGATGCCCAATGCGGGGCGGTGGGGTGGGGAGTGAGTAGAGGATGAGACTGGAGGAAATCGACTCAGTGCAGACAAGTCTTCCGACAAGGTCTGCAGAAGGTGGTGACGGCGGGGGAAGCAGGAGTCTGAAGACGGAGCAGGGGCCAGGGTGATGTCAAGATGAGCTGTCCAGGCGTGTGTGTGCGCGCCTGGGACTCACTCTCTAGAAAGGGAGACACAGATGCTGCAGGAGGGAGGGGCGCAGACGGCATTTTGTCCTCTTCTGAGAGACCAGGAAAACGGACTGCAGGTGGATAAAGTGAGCTCAGCAGGCAGTGCCAAAGGACAGATGGACTCGAGGCGATGAAATTGGATAAAAGGGCCGGCGCTGTGGCTCACTAGGCTAATCCTCCGCCTTGCGGCGCCGGCACACCGGGTTCTATTCCCGGTCGGGGCGCTGGATTCTGTCCCGGTTGCCCCTCTTCCAGGCCAGCTCTCTGCTGTGGCCAGGGAGTGCAGTGGAGGATGGCCCAAGTGCTTGGGCCCTGCACCCGCATGGGAGACCAGGAGCAGCACCTGGCTCCTGGCTTCGGATCTGCACGGTGCGCCGGCTGCAGCGCGCCACCAGGGTGGCCACTGGAGGGTGAACCAACGGCAAAGGAAGACCTTTCTCTCTGTCTCTCTCTCTCTCACTGTCCACTCTGCCTGTCAAAAATAAATAAATAAATAAATAGAAATTGGATAAAAGCAGTGAGCGCCCATGTGCAATCTTGGATAGTGAGTCACCTGTGTGGGCGCAGAGGGTGGAGGGTTTGCTGGCCTTAGCCAAGGCTGGGTTTTGTCGGGAGCTACACAGAGGGGAAGGTGTGAGAGCAGTTATAATGGAGGCCGTAGAATGGAGGAGTCAGCCAGAACATGCGACAAAAACTGGCCAGCTGAGTGACCGAAGGGTCATCATGGACAAAGGATTGCATGGGGTTGGGTCATCAGTGAGGGGTCACAGTGAGCTGATGTGGTCACAGCAAGGGCGGTGACACCCAAGTGCCACCAGTGCTGTTACCTTGTGAGCCTGGTGAGCAGGTACTGAACACTTAGTACCTGAACTCTGAGACTCGGTCAACGAATGCTTTACATCCCAGGCAACCCAGTGCCAATCGCTGACAAAAAATAACCTCTTTTCAAGGATCCTGTCCTTTAGCTGGGGCAAATCCAGCCTGCGACTATAGGGGTGAGGTTCAAGGGGCAGCAACAAGTCACCAAGAACAGCCGGGGTGGTGTAGCCAAAGCAGCCACCTGTGGTGCTGGCATCCCATGGGGTGCTGGTTTGAGTCCTGGCTGCTCCACTTCCAATCCAGCTTCCTGCTAATGGCCAGGGAAAGCAGAGGAAGATGGCCCACGTGCTTGGGCCCCTGAACCTGCGTGGGAGACCTGGCTGAAGCTCCTTGCTCAGCACTAGTGTCTGTGGCTATCTGGGGAGTGAACCAGTGGACGGGAGATCTCTCTCTCTCTTTCTGTAATTGTTTCCAAATAAATAAATCTTAAAAAAAAAAAAAAAAAAAAAACCCGCAGCGGGCTCCCCAAGGCCAGATGCTGGGGTGTGGACCGACCAGGTGGTGGGGTGACACCTACCGCTCATGGAGGGCAGCCGGGGCGGGGGTCTGCAGATCAGCGACGGCGACACCAGCACCGCGCGCGGCCACACGACTCGTCTGTGCTCGCGGGGCTCCCGGAACGCGGGGGCCGTGTGGACAGCGCGGGGCGCGCAGGGCTCGTAGGGCTCGTAGGATCGGCGGGGTTCGGGGGTCTCGTCTCGCGCCTCTCCCTCCTCTTCCTCCTCGTCCTCCTCTTCCTCCTCGTCCTCCTCCTCGGTCTCCCTGCGCTCACTGTTGTGCTCCTGGAGAAGCCTGAGCATCAGGGGCTCCTGGGAGACTTCGGAACTGCGGGACGCTTCTGCCATGTCCTCCCCTTCGGTCACCTCGGACTGCACGGATGAACGTGGAAACGCCATGGGTGCTCGCGACTCTCGGCCTCGCCGCCCGCAGCCAGGGGCCGACCGCTTTCTGCGAGCTCAGTAGCCCACACGGGCTGCCCGCGCCCACGCCCACGCCCGCCAGCGCTGCACCTCCACACCCGGCCCCGCCCCTGGTCCCGCAGAGCCCCGGCCCGGCCCCGCCCCGAGCCCCGCCCCACACACAGCCGGGCCCTATCCTCGCCCTTTCTCGAACAGGCCCCGCCCCACGCCCACAGTCCCGCCCCAGCCACGCCCCCGACTCCGCCTGAGCTGCTCCGCGTGCCCTGTCCGGTTGCCGCGGGACTGCCAGCTGCACCGGGATCTTTGTGCAGGCGGTGTGGCGCCAAGGAACCAAGGCGCGCCGGTGGATCCTGGGGTCGGGATGCCGGCCCCGTCCCTGTGTCGAAGGCCCTGGGGGCAGAACCGGTCAGCTGCTAGTCTGGCTGAGGCGCCGCTCAGATGCACACGGGTTTCTCCGTCGACGTTACTGGTAGTGTCTGCGGACCCTCAATCACAGCACTTGGAATGAGGTGCTTTGGCATTAGCAGGTCGTTTCCAAGCTCAGGAGGCGTCTCGAAGGTTGGGATGTTCACCTAAGCTTCACACGCAAACACTGTGTTAACTACTGAAGGGAGCCGTGTTATTTTTGTAAATCTTGTTAATTATCATGTGTTCTCCACGTACGCGTATTATCTTTTTTTTTTTTTTTTTGACAGGCAGAGTGGACAGTGAGACAGAGAGACAGAGGGAAAGGTCTTCCTTTGCTGTTGGTTCACCCTCCAATGGCCGCTGCGGCCGGCGCACCGCACTGATCTGATGGCAGGAGCCAGGTACTTGTCCTGGTCTCCCACGGGGTGCAGGGCCCAAGCACTTGGGCCATCCTCCACTGCACTCCCTGGCCACAGCAGAGAGCTGGCCTGGAAGAGGGGCAGCCGGGACAGAATCCGGCGCCCCGACCAGGACTAGAACCCGGTGTGGGTGTGCCGGCGCGCCGCAGGCGGAGGATTAGCCTATTGGGCACCAGCCGTGTATTATCTTTTAAATGCAATGTACCACAAGGTTTGTAATCCTGGTTTTGACATCTTTTCCTTTTATCATTATTTTGTACCTAGATATTTTTTAAAGTAAGGTTTTTCGTTCGTTTGTTTTTTTTTTTTAAGATTTATCAGAGAGAGAAAGAGATGGTCCACCCACTGGTTCACTCCCCAGATGGCTGCAGTGACCAGTGCTGGCCAGGCTGAAGCCAGCAGCCAGGAGCTCCATCCGAGTCTCTCATGGTGGGGAGGGTCCCAAGCACTTGGGCCATTTTCTGTTGCTTTCCCAGACACATTAGCAGGGAGCTGGACTGGAAGTGGGGCCGCTGAGACTCGAACCGGTGCTCATATGGAATTCCAGCATCACAAGAGGTGGCTTAACCCACTGCACCAAAATGCTGGCCCCTAAATGTAAGAGTGTTAAAGTGAATTCCGAGGAGTGCGCCTACTCGCTTTCATCGCCAGCATCAAGCAGTAGGGCTGTGTTGTTGCTCAGTGCCTGCTCCGTGGAGGAAAAACTCCAGCCACAACGCTTGTGGCCAACACGCAGAATCGAAAATCAGCATGTGAGAAAAACAGCAGTGAAGAACGAGAGGTGTGGTCCTCCATCCTGAACGCTTTGGTGTCACCTTTGGAATAGGTCTCTCGGAAGGTGGGTATGCTCCCGACTACCATAAATAAATATATTAAAAAACAAAAACAAAAAAACAGATGCTGAGACCCAGGGTTCTAGCATCCCCGAATCACGGATCACGGTGGGATCCGACCTCCACAGGCCAGCATAGAAGGCTCGGCATTAGACCCCTGAGGGGCTGCTGTTATAGAGGTTAGCCACGATTCTGCACTGAACTTAAAGGCACACACTCCTACGATCCCATCCCTCAGCTCACGCGTGACTTCAAGTACGTCCCATTCTAACCCGTGTGCTGGGTGCAAACCTAGGGAGGGGCCAGCCGTCATTGCCTTCTTTGTTTTTTGTTTGCCACACATTCCAAACTTTAAAAGGAAGGATTAATAATAAAAAAAAAAAAAACACCCTCCTTCCAAATCTTGTTATGTTTCAAACCAAGGCAAGGCACGGTAGCTAACAGCTGGATTTACACTGTGTCTGTAGGTATAGTTATCACTCACAAAACAGGCCTAGTGAAGAAAGGCGAAATGTCAAGAATTTCAGAACAAATCCTCAGAGAGTTCATCTAGTTGAGGAGCCTTCAAAAAAGCTCACAGAGGGGCTGGCCTTATGGCGTCGTGGATAAAGCCACAGACTGCAACACCGGCATCCCATATGGGGGCCGGTTCGAGTCCCCGCTGCTCCACTTCTGACCCGCTTCCCTGCTGATGTGCCTAGGAAAGCAGCGGAAGGTGCCCCAAGTGCTCAGGCCCTTGCACCTGCGTAGGGGATCCAGAAGAAGCCCCTGGCTGTTGACCTGACCCAGCCCTGGCTGTTTTGGCCATTTGGGGAGCGAACCAGTGGATGGAAGACCTCTGTCTGTCTCTCCCTTTCTCTCCCTGTAACTCCTTCAAATAAACCTTTTAAATGCAGAAAGTTCACAGACAATGCATATTATGAAAAAGTGTATGGATTTCAAAAATCTTTTGCATCAAAATAAACTTAATTCCATTGTCCACAAAGTGTCAAGTAGTCTTGTAGAACAGGCTCCTAGACAGACAAGAAACCTTCCCTAGTCCTTCCGGACGCTGTCAAGTTCTGCTTCTCTGTGGGTCTGAGCTGCTCACCATCCCCACTGTCCTATGGTACAGTTCTTTCTTTGAGGGCTGAAAGGATCCATTAGATTTTTACTTGAAAGAGAACGTTTATTAAAATATTTTCATATGAATTTCACATCATTGATAAAAACCACCAATGGGATGAAGGCTTGCTAATGTTCATTTCACTCTTGTTGATTAAAAATCCCATTCCCCCCCACAAAATACATCGTTTTATAAATACTAATGTTCAAAATCTAAATAAAGGGAAGCTTTCAATAAGTTAACGTTAATCTCGGTGCGTGTGCCATGCACTGAGAAACCAGGAAAAGGCTCATGTTTTATTTCACAGTGGAAACCTCTGGCTCTGAGCCTGCCACTCTCAACACTCTGGGGTGACACAAGGCTCGGGGCCGGTCACTGCGCGTCTGCAGCCAGCTGGGCAATCAGGTCTTTGGCGTCCTGCATGCTGGAGGGTATCTCTGAGCCGTCCTCCGTCACCTGGGTCCCAAACAAGAACAGCTTTCTGTCGTTCCCCACCTCGGAGAGCGCCAAGGCCTCGTGGATGTCTGTGATGTGATAGGCTTCCTCCAGATCCTGCACCGGGGAGGAGAAGGAAGGGGAAGAGGTTGGTTATACTGCTGGCGAGGTGGCATAGTAGGGTAAAGCTCCAGCCTGCAGTGCCCGCATCCCATATGGGCACCGGTTCGAGTCCCGGCTGCTCCACTTCCAATCAAGCTCCCTGCTAATGCACTTGGGAAAGCAGCAGAGGATGGCCCAAGTCCTTGGGCCCCTGTACCCACATGGGAGACCTGGAAGAAGCTCCTGGCTCCTGGCTTTAAATTGGCTCAGCTCTGGCCATTGTGGCCATCTGGGGAGTGAACCAGCGGATGGAAGACTTTTCTCTCTCTCTCTCTCTGTAACTCTCAAAAAAAAAAAAAAAAAAGATTATTTCCTAATGCCTTTGGATGAATAGAACTTATTGTATTTGTTGCTCCCCGTGGTTCTACCAGTTTAACATAGAGGACACTGTGACCTCATTAGGATGACAGCAGTGGTAGTTTGAATAGAAATATCTGTGTCCAATTTATGCCAGAGTTTGTATGATATCAAAAAACATCTTCTGGAATGAAAAGAAGTCAATATAATACTGTAATTTTCCAAACCGTGCAGTCAATCTGTTTCTAATTTTGGTTTCCATCTTCTAAGATTTCTTTCCATAGGATCAATTATTTAAAACTGATATTTAACAACAAAAAATTTGATTTACTGGTTGTTGGTGTTTTTTTGAGTTTTCTGTTTTTTATCTTTTTTGGTCCCCGTAATATTTTCTATTTTCTTGACTGTTACAGTGGCCACTGTGAATGTTTCTTTGTGAACATTATTTCCACTGAACAAAAATATGGTGGTGGGTTGAGGGAGGAGAGAGGACCAGGAAGTGGGGGGAGAGGCCAGGAGGGGAGAGGCAGACACAGGTGGAAGGGGAGCCTTTGAGGCTGGAACCCCTCCCCAGAGGCAGAGCAGCCCGGCTTATGCTGCACGCCAAGGTTAAAGTCCCTTGGAGTAAAAATAATAAGCTCAAAACATCCTTTGTTGCCGCTCATAGGCCAGGAGTTGTTTATGCAAATGACCTCTGACACTCCCTTCCACAAACACACAGGTTCCCCTGTGGTTTTCAGTCCTCTGCAAGCATTTGGGCATTTTCTCTTCTACACTGCATCTGTCACTGGCTCTTGTTGTCCCACAGCATCCCCCTAAGCTACAGGGATCATGTTGGACTCTGGGAATGAACCAAGCGGGCGTCATTCTTTTTTCCTGACCAACACAAACGTATCAAGCTGCATGGCGAGGAGCCTGTGAGGTTTTCCTGATGCACATCCGTGGTCACCCCTGGAGCTCATCACTTCTCTGGATGTTGGCAGTCACGGTATAGCGCTTGCTTGAAAGCTGAATTCACTTCGTCTTAGCGTCTACAGGCTCTTTTATAACTGTGTTAACGGGCCCAGACATATGGGGATGACGCCTCAGCTTCATAAATTCACTTCTGGAATTGGAGAGGAAGAAATGGGGGTGGGGGTGGGGTGCTGGGTGGGAGGTGGGGCTCCCTGTAATGACAAAGCCCACCAAGTACAAATCCTGAGCGTCTTCCTTACTCCCACCCAGGGCTGCCAACCAGATCATCAGGCAGAGTGAAGAGGAGATGCCTTTGAGCAAACTCTCAGATAATAGCTTGGGCCAATGAGTCATCGAAAAGCAGACTAAATAATTCAGACAAAGAATATCTGCAAATACGCATTAACCTTAAACCAGGACACTCACATCTTTTTGTCATTATGCCCCAGTAAAAGTTATACATTTGACAACGAATGGCTCTGATGAAGGTAAAAAATACAAGCCACAGGTACTGATAAACTTGACTATTGAAAATGGAAATATTTTATGAAACGTGAAACCACAAGCAAAGTAAAATGACAAGCCACTAGGATGTGAGACAAGATCTGTGTGGGCACATAGCGAACAGAGGATTATTTTTCCAAAAGGTATGAAAAACTCCTGCGATTTAAACAGGAAAAGAACCCCGGGAGGAATTTGTGAAGAGATATTAACAGACAATTCAGAGATGCAAACCGATAACCAATACACATCTGAAAAAGATGCTGAGACTCACTGGTAATTAAGGAAATGTGAATTAGAATAATAAAAATAATTTCACCCTCAACAGATTGGCAAAAATAGAACAAACCTGACAACACCAAGTATGGACACAGGTGTGGAGCTGCAAAAACTGTCATCCCCAGAGACATTTAGTATTTTTAATGCATGTATGAACTAAGGTCTGATTGGTCTAAAACAAAACTACTCCTTTAAAAAATTTTTTCAGGGGCCAGTGCTATGGTGCAGTGGGTTAAAGCCCCAGCCTGCAGCACCGGCATCCCATAAGGGTGCCGGTTCAGGTCCCAAGCTGCTCCACTTCTGATCCAGCTCCCTTCTGATGGCCTGAGAAAGCAGTGGGAGGTGGTCCAAGTGCTTGGGCCCCTGCACCCATGTGGGAGACCCAGAAGAAGCTCCTGCCTCCTGGCTTTGGCCTGGCCCAGCTCTGGCCGTTGTGGCCATTTGGGAAGTGAACCAGCAGATGGAAGACCTCTCTCTCTCTCTCTGTCTCTTACCTCTCTCTGTAACTCTTTCAAATAAATAAAAATAAATAAGGCCGGCGCCGCGGCTCACTAGGCTAATCCTCCGCCTAGCGGCGCCGGCACACCGGGTTCTAGTCCCGGTCGGGGCGCCGGATTCTGTCCCGGTTGCCCCTCTTCCAGGCCAGCCCTCTGCTGTGGCCAGGGAGTGCAGTGGAGGATGGCCCAGGTGCTTGGGCCCTGCACCCCATGGGAGGCCAGGAAAAGCACCTGGCTCCTGGCTCCTGCCATCGGATCAGCGCGGTGCGCCGGCCGCAGCGCGCCGGCCGCGGCGGCCATTGGAGGGTGAACCAACGGCAAGGGAAGACCTTTCTCTCTGTCTCTCTCTCTCACTGTCCACTCTGCCTGTCAAAAAAAAAAAATAAATAAATAAAATAAAATAAAATTTTTTTCATTTATTTCATTTAGTTGAAAGGCAGAGAGACAGCTCCCAACTCTAAAGTTTATAACCCAGATCTAACAAATACAAGTCGAGTGTCGGGCCTAGCAATACAGACGCCAGTGTCCCAGACTGGAGTCCTTGGGGTCAAGTCTTGGCTCCATTCCTGATTCTCCTGATTCTAGTTTACTGCCAGCTTCCTGCCCGTGTACATCCTGGGAGGCAGCAGGCGATGGCTCAAGTAAGCGAGTTCCTGCCGTCCATGCATGTGACCCAAACTGAGTTAGGTGCCAGCTCCCAGTCTCAGCCTGATCCAGCCCCAGCTGTTGGGGTATCTGGGGAGTGAGTCAGAGCGGGGGGCTCTCTGTCTCTGTCTTTGCCTTTCTCCCTCTGACTCATATAAACGTGTGTGTGTGTGTGTGTGTGTGTGTGTAAACACAACTCCTGGTACAACTTCTATGTGCACAGCTCTTACCTGCTTGTTTGCAAACACTACCAGAGGAAGAATCGGGTTTGCTTCGATGAGCTGGTGAAGGTATTTCTTGGCTTCCGGTAGCCGTTCGTGATCTGCTGAGTCCACCACGAAGATCAGTAGCAATCCCCTGGGCAGGTACGCTTCCCAGTGAGAACGGAAAGGCTCGCTGCCGCCAACTACCCGGAACAGTAGGGGAAGAAGACAGAACAGAGATCACAGAGGGGCCCGCCCAGGGGGCAGTCGGGCTCAGCAGGACGACTTCGGGAGATGCCACCAGAGGGGTGTCCTGGGGAGGGGGTGGGGGGGACAATTACCCTTCACAGGTGGTCCATTCACTTGGAACCACAAAGGGTCAACACAGAGACACGGAGCACTACAGCACATGTCTCCTGTTCCTGTTAAACTGGCAGCCCCTGGCAGCCCTGGCATGCTCACCAGTCACAGCTCAGAAAATGGGAGTAAGTTGCCAAAATAAGTAGGGTGGTGGGTTGTAACGCACATTACTCTAAAATCATCTTTAAGTGCAGTGAATTCACTGGTTAGTCTCACACAATTATTTTCCTTTATCAGAATCCCAGAAAGAGTTTCCCCCTTCACACTGGATTGAGAGTTCATAAGACCCTGTAGGTATTAGGAATATTGGTTTCAGAAAGGAAATGCCTTTCGATTAAGTTATTTCATTCTGCTGATTCTTGCCAGAACAAAGTTTTCAGTTAATTATAATATATACACAATGGATTTATCTTTAATTTCTCTAGGTTGGGAGTTGGCAAACTATAGCTAGCCACCTATTTTTTGTATTGCTCCGGGAGCTAAGAATGGCATTTATATGAGTGGGGGAAACAGGAAGAATAATGTTTTATGACACATGAACACCATATCAAATTCTGACTTCTGCGTCCACAAATGAAGTTTTGTCTGAAGGCAGTCGTGTTTCCTTACCTGTTGACCATGGCTGCTTTCATACGCAATGGCAGAGCTGAGTCATTACAACAGAGACTGAGTGGCCTGCAAAGCCAAACACTTCACTCTCTGTCCCGCAAGAGAGAAGCTCACGGGCCTGTGTTTAGGAACCCAGTAAAGCCATCGCAAATACCAATAGGAAAGGATCTTTGCCTTTCTGTTATTTTCCTTTGTATAGAGCTAGGATAGTCACTCTTAGAAATATTTTTGTGTTTGAATTTGCTAAAATAATGCTATGTAAGCAACTCATATAGTTTGTGAGAGAGAGAGATAGAGAGAAAGATCTTCCTTCCATTGGTTCACCCCCCAAATATCCACTATGGCCAGCGCGCTGCGCCAATCCAAAGCCAAGAGCCAGGTGCTTCCTCCTGGTCTCCCATGCGTGTGCAGGGCCCAAGCACTTGGGCCATCCTCCACTGCCTCCCTGGGCCACAACAGAGAGCTGGACTGGAAGAGGAGCAACCGGGACAGAACTGGTGTCCCAACCAGGACTAAAACCCGGGGTACCGGCGCCACAGGTGGAGGATTAGCCTAGTGAGCTGCGGCGCCGGGCAATAACTCAAATAGTTGTAATACACTTAAATATCAGTGCAAAGCAGGTTAAGCCACTGCTTGGGATGCCCGCACCCCATACTGGATGCCTGGTTCGAGTCCTGGCTGCTCCACTTCTGATCCAGCTTGCCGCTAGTGTGCACCCTGGGGGGCAGCCGATGGTGGCTCAGGCAGTTGGATCCCTGCCACCACGCGGGAGACGTGGATGGAGTTCTCAGCTCCCAGTTTCCGTCCGGCCCAGCCCTGGCTGCTGTGGGTATTTGTGGAGGGAGGCAGTGGATGGAAGATCCCTCTCCACCTATTTGTCTTTCAAAAATGTGGTTTTTAAAAAATGTATTAATTTTATTTAATTAATTATTAATTTTGTTTTTAAAATAAGTGTTAAAATATTACTCTTTGTAATTAGACAAAAACAAAAGTCAAAAGATGACTGTGGTAATCTGAGCAAGATGTGGTGGAGGCTCTGACCCACGTGGGGGCAGTGGACAAGGATGTCACCAACCAACCTGAGATGTCTTGGGTTCACTGCAAGGTGGGGACGGAGGAGGAGAAAGCAAGGAACTCCGGGTTTCTGACTTGGGCAATCTGATGGATGAGGAGGCTTTCACTTCCCAGAGGATTACAGAGAAAGGAACAGATATGGGATAAATGACGAATTTTTTTATTTTTATTTTTTATTATATATTTTTTTGACAGGTAGAGTCATAGACAGTGAGAGAGACAGAGAGAAAGGTCTTCCTTCTGTTGGTTCACCCTCCAATGGCCGCTACAGCCGGCGCTACCCCAATCTGAAGCCAGGAGCCAGGTGCTTCCTCCTGGTCTCCCATGCAGGTACAGGGCCCAAGCACTTGGGCCATCCTCCACTGCACTCCCAGGCCACAGCAGAGAGCTGGACTGGAAGAGGAGCAGCTAGGACTAGAACCAGTGCCCATATGGGATGCCGGCGCCGCAGGCAGAGGATTAACCAAATAAGCCAGGGCACCGGCTCCAGTGAAGAATGTTTTTAAACCACAGAGGTTGGAGAGGCTCCGCAGACACTCTAGGTGGAGATGTCAGGAGACAAGGATGTGTTTGGGCTGGTGTATACATTTGGGAGTCATTAGCATAAAGATGGTATCTAATACTGTGAGGATGGCTGGAATCATCCGGTGGAGGGGGGGGGGGCAGGAGGAGAGAGAGGGGAGAGAGAGAAAGAGAGAGAGAGAGAGAGAATCTTCCATGTATAGGTTCACTCTCCCCAAGTGGCCAGGGCTGGGCCAGGCCGAATCCAGGATCCAGGAGCTTCACCCGGGTCTCCCACGCAGGTGGCAGGGGTCCAAGCTCTTGGGCCATCTTCCGATGCTTTTCCCAGGCCGTTAGCAGGAAGCTGGCTCGGAAGCAGAGATTTACCCACTACGCCACAACGCCAACCCCAACTTCCATCTAATCAGCAGAGGTCTGGGGCTTGTCTGCCATTTCATTGCAGAGAAGGAAGCACGCTGCACTTAGATGGCTTGTTCATGTGTGGTAGTGTGGGAGCAGGGAGGGTCATTACAAGATGACTGGCAGGGGGGGGCTGGAGCCCTCGCCCCCCACTCCCCCTTAAAATCACCCGCCGCCAAAAAGGAGAAAGTTTAAAAGCCCAGGAAGTGCAGCCCTCCACTGCTTGCAGCTTTAAACAGCAATACACACATGCTAAAAGTTTAGGAAAGCTGAGCCAGTGCTGCTTGTCACAGGACCCAAGTTTGCTAACATCACGGTTGGCTTAGGGTCTGAGGGCGGGACGTTGTGGTCTGGCAAATTAGGCCGCTGCTTGGGATGGCCACGTCCCACACTGCAGCGCCTGGGTCAAGTCTCAGCTCCTCTGCTTCCAATCCAGCTCTGCTGCTGGTGTGCCTGGGAGGCAGCAGATGATGGCCCAAGGGCTTGGGTCTCTGCCACCTACACGGGAGGCCCAGATGGAGTTTTCTGGCTCCTGGCTTCCGCCTGGCCCAGTCCTGGCTATTGTGGGCGTTCAGGGAGTGAACCAGTGGATGGAAGCTCTCTCTCTCTTTCTCTTATTTTCTCTGCCTTTCAAATAAATAAATCCTTAAAAAAAAAAAAATCTCCTGAAATGCAACTACCCACAACCAGTGAGAAAGAGTGCTTACTCTCCAGGAACTCCATTTGGCTGTCTTCCGTGTTGATGCAGACTTCATTGAAGCCCTCAGTGGGTGCCCTGCTGTGCTGGATTCTGTTTGAAGCCAGAGAGTGGAGCACACTGGTTTTCCCCGCTCCATCCAGGCCCAGTACCAGGATCTGCTTGTTTTTCTCCTATGAAACAAAAAACCAAATCAATAAATCTGGGCTGCCAGGGCCTTGTTCTTCTGGCTCTGCAGCTTCCTTGACTGTGGTAAAACCCAGTAATAACCGTGGAAGTGTAACCCGGCACTAATTGTCGCAGAAAACGTTTTCTAGGTCTAGAACTGTCCCAGTCAGTGAATCTCTTCTAAGTATCCATTAGTTATGTGATACTAATCTCATATCCTCCATCCAACTCTTGTTCAGTGTATCAAGTAAGTGACTTTCTCTCTCAGTACTTAGGTCATGGTTCACAGGGCCAGTTTCACATTTTGCTTCTTTAGTTCACGTCCTTTGGAGGCTGCACCAGGACTGTGTTTGTTTTGGGGGTCCGTGGTGCACCTGTTGACTGAGCAGCTCTGCCTGTAGGCATTGTAGGCCTCACATTATTATCAATCCTACTGTCTTCACCATTGGAGGGCTAGGTTATAAGATCTTGGGCAAGGCTCCCCTTTGCAATACAAGCATCATGATTAAATGTAAAGGTTAGGGTGATAGAAATTGTTAAGTCAGTTACAATCACAAATGAGAATTTGTTACATAATGTGATATTAAAAGCTGATGAACTAGACCTAACCTCAGAAGCTTTCTACCAGGCTTACTTAGAAAGAAGCTTTCTACCAACAAACCAGCCTTAGAAATCTTTATGGCAAAAGACCAAGGGACAAGAAGGGCAGGCTGGTGTAAAGACAGAAACATAAGGTCTAGAGCACTCAGAAGTGTAGTCCCTATGGTGCAAACCTTAAACATTTATTTACTTACTTATTTAAAGACAAAGGAGAAAGACAAAGACAGAGACACACAGCCGGTCTTATGATTCCCTCCCCACATGCCTACAACAGCCAGGACTAGAGCAGGCCAGTGTCAGGAGTCAGGAACTCCATGCTTGTCTCCCACCTGGGTGGAAGAGACTCAGGCACTTAAGCCATCCCCTGCTGCTTCCCAGCGTGCACATTAGCAGGAGGCCAGATTCAAAAGCAAAGCCAAGACTTGAACCCAAGCACTATGATGTGGGAGGCGGGTGTCCCAAGTGGTGCCTTCATGCCCACCGCTCCATGGCGCAAACTTTACTGTCAATCAAACAAAGGACCAATAATAGAGCCGTACTGCTCACAGGAATTCAATTCTGCTCCCAAAGAAACTTCTCGCACACAACACACTAGTAACCGTCTTCAATGCCACTGGTTTAGGAGCAGCAGTCTTGCACCTGCCTGCTTGTTTGCATGAATGTTGACACTGGATTTAGGCTGGGTTTCTGGAAAAAAGTGACCCTACACCCGTTTAGACTATCTATCGTGCCTCCTTTTTAAAAAAGATCTATGTAGAGGCAAGATGTTTGCAGGTCTGGCCTACTGGAGACTTGTATGGAGTCATATGTAGGCCATGTAGTGAGTAACAGAACCGGTGGGGGGGGGACCCACATATTTGTTCTTAGAGTGAATTCTTGTTGGCTCTTAAAGCAAGTGGTTTTATCAGAATGTAACTGCACTGAATACCTCTTTCTCTTCCTCTTCATATTCTGATGAACAAAAGCTAACCACTGGTCTTGTGACTAAGGAGAGTGGCTGTTCTAACAAACAATGCTTGCTTGTGAATCGCAGAAGCCAGCCTTGAGAAAGGCAGCTCAAGTTGCAAGGTTAATTTAGCCCTCTGCAGCCTGCACGGCTGCAGTTTGGGATTTATTGGAGCGGACTGTACAGGAGGAAGAAAAACTAAGGGCCCAGTAAGCATGGGCTCTAGGCTGAGTGAGCTCCATCCTGACGGACGACACACTGGACTCTCCTAGCACAGCACTTGCCTCTTTCAGAACTCAGCCGAAGAACGTTTTATGTAGCTGCACAGTTGTGTAGACGGTGCTGCTATTCCCTGCTCACGATAAAAGTTCCTCAAGGAATTGCGTTGATGTCCGTAATGGGTAAATGCCCTACTGCAGACCTGCAACCGGCCTTGGCATCTATCGACTCCTCCCTCGCTGTGAGTCACTGCTCAGCAGACCAGTGTTCACTGCTTGAAAGCCCAGTTCCAGACACCCCCTCCCCTGTCTGCTACGGTCCTCATCTGCCAGTAGATGAAACTCTCTCTCCTCCATCCTCAAACCTTGCCTTCATTCTTCTGATTCAACGCAGTGGACAAGGACTGGATTTGGGGGGTGAACCAATGGAAGGAAGACCTTTCTCTCTGTCTCTCTCTCTCTAACTCTGCCTGTCCAAAAAAAAAAAAAAAAAAAGTGTTTGTGCCCTATCCTCCCACATCTAAATGCTACAAGCCATTCCGCAACTGTGCCATGGTGAGGACGAGGGACTAGACCCACAATGCCTGCTTGGAACCAGCACTTGTACCAAGTGCCCGGGGTGCAGTGCCAGCTTTGCTCCTGATTCCAGCCCCCTGCTCATGCACACCCTGGGAGGCAGCTGCTGGTGGCTTCAGTACTTGGATCCCCACCACCCACATGGGAGACCTAGAAGGAGTTCCTGGCTCCTGACTCGGGCCTGACCCACTAGTGCCTCATGTGGGCATTGGGAGAGTGAACCAGTAAATGGAAATCTCTTTCTCTCTCTCTTCTCTCTCTCTGCCTCTCCCCCTCCCTCCCTGTCACATCAAATAAACTTTGAAAAATAAAAGTGCATGCGTTCAAGGAAGAGTGGCACCAAGAAATGGGTTGCCAGTCATGGACCCATTCCCCCACCCATCAGGGGCCTCCTCTGGTTACCCTCCAGGTACTTCTAAGCTGCACACCCCCTGCCCCCATCCTCCCCCCTCCCCACACACATTTTAACATCTCTGAAATTGGAACATGTTTCACAGTAGGTAGGATGCTGTATTTTGGTTGGCAGAATTTTTTCTTTCTTTCTTAGTGGGACCTAAACTCTTAGCATCTTGGACCTTGCGCAGTATTGTGAAGTAAGTCGGTTCCGCACTCTCTTCTGGGACACACTGCTGCCCCCAAACCCATCCTACCTAGAAATCCTGCGCTCACTCGTGCTCTCCAAGGGTACAGATGTGACATTTGTGGTGGGAATCTCGCTGTCCTTTGTCAGAATCCATTCCTTTGGCAAACACGGATCTCCGTGGCTCGCGTTTTATTAGAGAGCAAGTCTCCGTTAATAGCTGAAATTGGTACAGGCAGGAACTGCAGCGCACCGGGCCCATCGAGCTGACCCAGGTGAGGCCTGTTTCTCCGAGAGCTCTCAGTCCACGCCCCGCCCCGCAGGACGCTGCAGGTCTGACAACCAGGCAGGCACACATCCCGCGCGGGGCCCAGAGGCGGCCGCCGGCAAGTGTGGATGTCTCCAACCGAAAAGCTCGCGCGCCAGACTCGCGGTCGGGTGGGCGCTGCGCCACGGGCCCGGCGCTGGACAGAGCCCGGCCGCTGCGGGGCCCACGCCGCGTCCCGCAGGCCGATGGGGGCCTCTTCGGCCTCCACGCGGGCTTGGGGGGTCCGGGCGGAGCTGGGGACACCGTCACTCGAGGCTCGCACCTCCCCTTCCACCCGCGGGACACCCGATCCTCGGCGCGCGGCTCGGGGCTGGGACGTAACAGAGCCGGCGCCCGGGCGGCCTCGGCGTTCGTGGCCTGGGAGGCCAGGGTCCCGCGCGGCCGTCTCTTACCGGCAGCTGCGGCGGGGTCCCCGCCACGGTGGGGCCGCTCTGCCCTTGCTTTCCTCTCGCCCGTTCCTTCTCGGCCTCAGCCTCCGTCTCGGTCTCGGCCTCCGTCTCCGACCGGTGCCCCCTCCTCTCCGTCTCGGTCTCCGTCTCGGTCTCGGCCTCCGTCTCGGTCTCGGCCTCCGTCTCCGATCGGTGTCCCCTCCTCTCCGTCTCGGTCTCCGTCTCGGTCTCGGCCTCCGTCTCCGATCGGTGTCCCTTCCTCTCCGTCTCCGACCGGTGACCCTTCCTCTCTTCCTCCCCGCTCCTCTTACTCCGCTCCTTCGCTTTTTCTTTCCCCTGATCCTTGCCTTTCCTCCAAGTCCTCTCCTCCCTTTTCACTCCGCCCCTCTCCATCCCCACCGCCTCCGATCCCTCCCCGGCCCCGTGGCGCAGGGCCCCGGCGGGTGTGGCCCTCGCGGGGGACGCAGGACCGCGACGTAGCGGCCGGTGGCGTAGACTACCCCCGCGCTCCCCGCCTGCCCCAGGGCGCACAGCAGCCCGACTCAGCGAAACCCCGAGGCGGAGGAGGGAAGGGCGGGAGCCCAGGCTAGGGGACGCGGGAGGTCCCGAGTGGGCGTGGGGACCGCCCGGGGCAGGGAACGCGCCGCCTGGCGCCACTCTCCACAACGGGGCTCCCTTGGCCAGGCAGGGAGGCTCAGGCGCTCCGAGCCGCCTGAGGCGTCTGCCCTGCAGGTGTCCCCAAGTGTCCTCCGAGGGCTCCAGGCCTTCGCCGCTCGGAATGCCGAACCAGGAAAGGCAAAATCGCGACCTCTCCCGGCCCGGTCCCTGTGAACACCGGGGGCGGGGTGGGGGTGGGGGTGTCTGCAGCCCGTTAAGGACGCGTGGGGAAATGTGAACCCTTGTACTCTCGATTTCTTGTTGCTTTTTAAAGCGCGGGGAAGGAGGGGTGGTGGGCACAAGCTGCACCCCACACCCCCTATCTCAGGGCCTGGTTTAAGTCAAGGCTACCCAGCTTCCCGCATCTGATGGCTCCAGTACTTGGATCCCTGCCATACACATGACGCTCCTGGCCTCCGCCTGGTCCAGTCCTGCCTGATGCTGGCATTTGGTGAGTGAACCAGCAGAGGGAATCTTTCCATCTATCTAGCTTTTCAAGTAAAAGGAAAATAAACTGAAAAGCAGAAAAAAGCCCCTATGCTGGAGATGTGGAGATTAACTCCGTGCCGGGGCCGTGGCTGCTGGCGGCAAACCAACACTGCGGCCCAGCTGCACGGTTCACACGCAGGAAACTTTGCCACCTCGGTTTCAAACAGCCTCGAGCCAACAGCCGGTGGACTGCAGGTTGCAGACGCAACTGTCTGAAGGTTAGCTGTTTCCCTTAAGCTTGAAAGTGCTGTGCTTAATATCCTTGTGTTTATTTATAGACATAACCAACATGATGAACTCTCGGCAGTTTAAAACGGGTTCTCTCAATCCAACTGTATCAGTTTTGTGGCTCTGGTGGGAGGGGCAGGAGATAGTTTAAAATACTCAATTTAAAAGAAAATTCTTATATTAACCAGAAGTCCTCCATAAAACGCTGACACCCAAAGCATGTTAACCCATAATCCATAGTCACTGCTACAATGTTATTTCAACATGTCACAGTGAAGAGACCTATCCATACTGGGTCATACTGCTCATTCTCTGTCTCTCTCTCACACACACAGGATGTGTCTATGTCACTGGCTAAGGGGCCGGCCACACACACACACACACACACACAGAGGAAGTGTCTATGTCACTGGCTAAGAGGCCTATCCAAGAGATGAAATAATTACCAGAAAGTTAAGGCAGATGTCTACTTCATTTGACAACTGTAACTTATTTATTTGAACTGAGGTTTTAGTTAGGGAACAATGGCAGTCAATAACAATGACTACACAAAAAATTCTAAATTTCACTGTTGTGCCTTGGGTCAAAATTTTCAATGATGGATAATTTTCACCAAGATCCTGTTGCTTTGTTAACCAAAGAAAGTATCCTTCACCACAGGAAAATAATGGAATCGGTCCTGAATAACAAGGTTACCAACAGTTGCTGGTGTATGGGCTGTATATTCAGAAGGAATAAATATCTGTCACACCAGCCAGAAGACTGTTCCCTGTGAGCTCAGAAAAGGATTGTGCCATAATAAACCATTCTGATTTTAAGCAGATCTCATTTAGGCACCACTGCAGACCCTCATTATGCTAAACCAAAAGGCAGTGCCCCATCTCTTACCTTGTAAAGGAGGAAAACCTTTGTAAAAACTATGAAGAAGTTTCAATAAATGTGTTCAGATTCAAACAGCAGCACTTTATTAACAAGGACAGAGTAATCTGATCACAGGAAATACTTATAAGTTTAGAATAAATGATTTGGGGCAGCAGAAAATGAGTACTAACAAGGGCAGGCGTCCCAATGTGTCTCTCACAGCTGTTCAGTGTGAAGCTGGCTTGTAAGCAGGGAAAGACAAGGCAACACTTACGCAAGTCCCCTGTAAAATACTTCATTACTTTCAAAGGGTCACGAACCATCATAACCCGTAACTAGAAAAGGAAGCCTGTTAACTGGGCCAAATAGTTCTGTTAGATTTTAACGCTGCCTGGTACTGATTCTCTCTCTATGTAATGAAGCCAATGTTCATGTTTTTGATAGGGGTCATTAACCTTTCTGATAGAGACAGTTCAAAGCCATCTCATCTCAGAACACTGGGTCTAAGACTCAACTTCTCGCCACATTGACACATCTCCCTTGAAGTCTTCAGTGATGTTACGTCAACATGTTAACATCATCTGAAAACCCAGTGCACACCAATGAGTCATTCGTGTATACAAATAAATTATGGAGGGTCCCGTATCTAGAATCACATGCCACAACTTATGGCTAAAATGACTTCTTGTGGCCACTCAAGAACATCAGTGTTTTAATAAGGTCCCTTCTGAACGAACACAGGACATTTCTAAGCAGGTATCTGGAATGCTCAGAAGATTCTACTTTCAGTCTCTGTGGGCCTCCTAAGCCGTAACTGAAAGTGGGAACGAGTGTCTTCTGACTGGAGCTGAAAGAGCAGAAAACAGTTTCTGTCTAAATCCTGGGAAGCCGCACATGATGTGCCTTTTTGTGAAACAGAGAAGAGCAAATCCATACACAAAGATAAAGGAAGCAACAGACATCCAGGTGGAGCAATGCCCAATCATTCTCAGTCATCACCTGCGCAAAGCTGGGGCACAGTGGGCCAGTTCTGCCGGGGTGGACTGGGGAGGATGTGCTGTTTGATGCCCGAGAAAATGATTGTACGACAAGATGGGGATGGAAGAGGGAGCAGCTCTGTGCTTCTTGCTCTGTTGCCTTTATTATGTTCCTAGTGCCACTGAGACCAGTTAAAAACAGCCTACGACAGCAATGTTCTCATCACCAACCACCTTTTCCACCTTTCTTCTTTTTCTGTTGCTGTTTCTTTTTTGCTGCTGGCGCTCCTGCAGGTTTCTGGTGTCTCGGGGGGATGATGTTACTCGTGGAGGCAGACACGGCTGCTGCACTGCCAGGCCTTGGAGACGTGGGCGGGCTGCTCACGGTTTTACTGGCGTCCCTGAAAGCACCAGAGCAAGGACGTTCCGGTCACTCGTATATTCAACAAAAGGCATAAAAATGCCTGTACGTGGACTTGACTTTATACACCCAACAACCTCCCACATACTCTCTACTTCTTGAAGGTGGGTCCCCAAAACTCTATTTTCCTTTTGAATAAAATTTTCACTGTTTTATAACCTGCCAATTTTCACAAGAGTAAGGAAAATATTTTGAATGATCTGTGTTAATATTTAATACTTCTAGTAATTACTATCTATTTATCCATTTAGTTGGTTGGATGACACAGTATGTGTAATTTCTTTTTGCAATTAATAGTCATTATAGAAGTTTTAGTGCTTACAATTACAATCAAATAAGAAATATATTTTATGTAAGTATGTTGTAAATACTTATCAAAGATATGACTATACCTCTCATAATTGAAATCTATGAACCAACTGGCACCTATAGATGTGAGCGAGTATCAGAAAGAAACCACCAGCAAGTTGAAGTGAGCCCAGCCTTGGGCGAGGACGTACAGTTCAGACGACGCTGCCGCAGTCGCTCCCTGTGTCCCCTTTCCAATCTGGTCCTTCTTCTTCCCCTTCTTCCGTCCTCGATAGTAGGAGCGTTCTCGCATTGGCAGCCACCTTTCTGGATCCGGGGTAACTTTTGGGTCATAATTCTTAGGCAGCTTTCCTGTGTAACAGTTCACAAAAAATGGGAGATGTACACAGAATATTTTCAAGATGGTTTGTTAAACAACGTATTCAAGCCTAGGAGTAACCTAGGAGTAACCAAGGAGTAACCTAGGAGTAACACCGAAACCGAAATGTATCTGACAAATCTTCATTTTTATCTAGTGGGGGAAGAGCATCTGTAAGCATAACTGAAAATTCAGAGGTCATAAAGGAAAAACTTTCACACATACATAACATGAAACAGAGTGGATTAATATCCCTAATTTAGAAAGTTTTTGCTAATCAATGGATCACTCAAAGAAAAATATGAAATTAAGATTCAAGTAAACCAGTAGAAATAAGTCATTAAACATATGCATAGACAGTCTAATTAAACATGATAAGGGCCAGGCAGGCAGTTGGCCTCAGCGATCAAGACACTGTTGAGGCCGGCGCCATGGCTCACTAGGCTAATCCTCCGCCTTGTGGCGCCGGCACACCGGGTTCTAGTCCCGGTCGGGGCGCCGGATTCTGTCCCGGCTGCCCCTCTGCCAGGCCAGCTCTCTGCTGTGGCCCAGGAGTGCAGTGGAGGATGGCCCAAGTCCTTGGGCCCTGCACCCGCATGGGAGACCAGGAGAAGCTCCTGGCTCCTGGCTTCGGATCAGCACGATGCGCCGGCCACAGCGCGCTGGCTGCAGCGGCCATTGGAGGGTGAACCAACAGTAAAGGAAGACCTTTCTCTCTCTGTCCACTCTGCCTGTCAAAAAAAAAAAAAAAATATATATTGAGATACCCACTTCTTGCAGTATATGTCAGAAGATTTCTAGATAGGGTTAAACTCGAGCTTTTATTTACAGAAAGGTATTTAAGATTTTTAAAAGTCTCACCCTTCTTTTTCTTCTTCTTCTTTTTCAAATCTCCCTGTCTACAAAGAGAAGAAAAACCGTATCACCACTGTGATGTTCACAGAGCACTACGTATGTGCAAATCATGACGTTGCTTAAGACTTGGCAGCAGCTCACCAGAGCTAACAAGGTGGCGGGAAAATCAATTTCAGTTAAATCCTATCAAGCTTCAGATACTATAATTTTTGGAAAGTAGTTAAGAAAATAGACAATTGTTTTCAGAAAAGAAACCATTTATACTGCAAAAAATTCTAAGTGGCAAACATTATGTTTATGTGAAAAGGTAACCAATTTGCACTAGAATGAAAAGTTCTACTTGGGTGAGTTACCCTGTGTCATGCAAGACGTCAGGGACTCCACACTGCCATAACACACACAGCTAAGATACAGGGAGAGACCACGATCTGGAAGCATTTACAGCACAAGTCATGTCGGTCATGGCTTTGGGAAGGAGGAGGGGGGATGAGCTGGGAAATGACTTTTTACTTTGTACTCTTCTCTCTTTTGAATTTGGACCCTTTTGATTTATTATTTTTTAAAAAAATAAAGCTGGGGCAGGTGTTTGGTGCAGCGGTTAAGCCCCACCTGGGATGCCTGCATCCTCTATCAGAGTGCCCAGGTTTGAGCCCTGGCTCCACTCTGCATTCCAGCTTCTTCATAATGCACACCCTGGGAGGCAGCAGGGGGTGGAGTCCCTGCCATCCACGTGCGAGACTTGAGCCGGGCCCAACGCTGGCTACTGAGGGCCTTTGGGGAAGGAGCCAGCACATGGGAGATCTGTGTCTTTCTGCCTTTCAAATAAATAAATAAAATTTAATAAGTAAAACCTTTATTAGTTACACTGACACTCACTCCCCCACAAACTCCCAAAACATAAAAGTGCTGAAAATGGTATAAAAAAAATCAAGGGGCTGGCGCTATGGCACAGTGGGTTAATGCCCTGGCCTCAAGCGCCGGCATCCCATATGGGCGCCGGTTCTAGTCCCAGCTGCTCCTCTTCGAATCCTGCTCTCTGCTGTGTCCTGGGAAAGCAGCAGAAGATGGCCCAAGTCCTTGGGCCCCTGCACCCACGTGGGAGACCCGGAGGAAGTTCCTGGCTCCTGACTGGCACAGCTCTAGACGTTGCGGCCAATTGGGGAGAGAACCATTGGATAGAAGACCTCTCTTTCTCTCTCTCACCTCTCTGTGTAACTCTTTCAAATAAATAAATCTTTTAAAAAATCAAGAAAACATTTTAATAATTAAGTAATTTGAAAGCTACAGTAAAAAGAGCAAGACATTAACAAAAATCTCTGGCTAGACTCATTTGAAATGCTCTATGAGAACTCTGAAACAGTCAACTCAAAAGACAACAGCAACAACTCCTGCCAAAATTTCATCTGTAAGTCACAGAACTGTGAACATTCTCTCAAGATATCCTGCAGAGTAGGAGATACAATGTCTGCTGTCTTATTTCAGTGCCTGATCTCTTACCTAGACCTTGCAAATCCAAATTATCTGCCTATAAACTACATCCAACAGCCGTGCCTCCAGTAACGCGAGGTTCTCTGCCACTTCTTGTCTGCCTCAGCTCTGTCTTGCACACCTCATCGTCCTCTTTCTCAGCCAGCACACCCACTCCTCCCTGAAGCCTTTCCTGTCCCTGTTCCCAGGAAGAACGGATTGTCCCCAAGGGTGCAGTCCTCCATACCCTGCAGCTGTCACGTGTGCAAGCGTAACAGCACTAACTGCTTACGTGTATGCTATTTCTACTTTATTTTTTGGACAATATACAGCATAAACCTATCACATAGTGTATCTTCCAAAGAAACTAAACCTTAGTGCCAGAAACTAACTAAAATAAAGATACTCACTGAAAGTACTGTGCTAAAATGTAAAAGCTTAAGGTAATGTACATCTTAATGACTGTTAGGAGGAAAAGAAAAAGAAGACTAAAGATTAGAAAATAATTATGTCTTCTGTTTTGGAAGAGAAAAATTCTGAGCATATTTAAATAAGAATTATTTAAAAATCCACTTAAGATCTGACTTGAACTTATTTTACTTTGGGTTTCCTGAAAAGGCTTGAAATTGGAATCGTAATAAAATGGAATTTGAAATAATGTAATAGCTTTGAGATTCCAATTCCTTATTAAAGTATAAAAATTTTTTGGGGCCAGCACTGTTGCGTAGTGGGTAAAGCTGCTGCCTGCAGTGCTGGCATCCCATTTAGGTGCTGGTCCAAGTCTTTGAACCCCTGCACCTGCGTGGGAGACCTGGAAGAAGCTCCTGGCTCCTGGCTTTAGACAGGTGCAGCTCCAGCCACTGCGGCCAACTGGGGAGTGAAATAGTGGATAGAAGACCTTTCTCTCTCTTGTCTCTCTGCCTCTCCTTCTCTCTGTGTAACTATTTCAAATAATATTTATATAAAAAATTTATTACATTTGTAACAAAGGAAGTAAATCACTGGCTAAGTGCTTTCTCTCGCCCATGCTCTATGCATCCTAAATCAAAAACAGATTCTTAAATGCTGCTCTGCAGGTTCTACTGTGTTTGGAAGAAAGCAATGGCAGAAACAAAGAATCAGAATTTGATTTCTTATAAGTAAATGAAACTGGCTTATCATTCCTCCAAAGAAGCATAAACCATCTGAACTTTAGTTGAGGAATGCAATTATGTCCTAAATGAACAAATAATTTTCAGGTAAAGTAGGAGATATCCAGTCTAGGGAATAATATTCATAGAAAGAATGAAGTATGTCTTTAAAAGCGGGGAGGGGGGGGGGGGGGCACTGTGGCGTAGCAGGTACAGCTGCAGCCTGCAGTCTCGGCCGCTCCACTTCCCCTCCAGCTCTCTGCTATGTCCTGAGACAGCAGCAGCTGGCCCAAGTCTTCAGGTCCCTGTACCCGCATGGAAGACCTGGAAGAAGCTCCTGGCTCCTGACTTTTGCATCAGAGCAGCTCCAGCCACTGTGGCCAACTGGGAGTGAACTAGTGGATGGAAGATCTATCTCTGCCTAACTCCGACTTTGAAGTAAATAAATAAATCTTTAAAAAAACAAAAGAATGAAAAAGAATGAAGTTATGCCTATATTAGTACCTAGAGAGATCCCTATGACTTCTTAAATGAAATCAAATTGGAAAATAGTATGTACAAAATAATCTCCATTCTATAAAAAAGACAGAACAAAACATAACCAAAAAAAACCCCAACAATCTAAGAAAAATATTTGTAAATTACCTGTTTGTATAAACACAAAGACAAGATTGGGAAGGCTATACTAAATACCAGAGGTTAATTCTGGGCTGGAGCAAGGGGAGAAATGAGAACTAAGAAGTGGGCCCAGTTGAAGAAAAAGGAAAAAAACAAACAAACAAACAAAACAAAACAAAAAAAACACAGGAGCCAAACTTTAGTCCAGTGGAGTTTCTGTGAGAGTGTGTTTTCTTGCCATACAATTTAAAATCAGCAGTGAAGAGACTGTTACAGTGAAAGCATTACCCTTGCTCCTTTGGCTGGCTGTCTCCAGTAACTTTTCCACCCTTCTTCCGAATGTATGTAGCACCAGGAGAATTTTCAAGAGCCTCCACGTCCACCTTTAGAGACATACTGTCTGATGAGGGCAAGTGTTTACTCAGACTGGGATGGAACAGGAGTTCAGGAATATAATATAAAACATACATGCATGTCTGACAATACACCCATGTCCAAAGAGAAACACCCTATCTCTTCTTCACTGAAAGCAAAACATGTTCTTGAATCTCCTACAGAGTAATCAGTAAGCCCTGTCGATTACACAGCAAATATGCAGAACGGTGATCTCGAGGAGTTGTAACCTTAGCATCTACTCCTTAACTCTGTGACACAGTTCAACATGGTGGCTCAACAAAGCTCCGTTCCAAAGCAAGCATCAAACTTAGGAACACAGACTTACTCACTGCAAAGGCTTTGACTTGTGGTGGCTGAGTATCCCCCATCCCAGCCCAGTTTCGGGAACAGTCTCATTAAGGCAGTATGTGTGTTTCCAGCTGTAAAGACACTGAATTCTCACGTCAGCAGTGACTGAGACGAGCTTATGACCCACACAGTTTATTCAGAGGAACGTTTGAAAGCCATGAACCATCCACTTAACATCCTCTTTGTTTCTTTTGCTGCTGAACTTGAACTTGGAGGAATAGAAGCTGCTCCCTCCTGCAAACTTCATTCTTGCTTCTGGATCTAACTATTCCCCAAACTGTATCTACCGCTGCATTTTTCAATTACATGGGCCAATAAATTCTCATTTTTGGCTTCATTAGTTCGCAGGCGATTTTAAAGCCCAGTCAAAACAAGCACTGGCAGAGCACTTGCGTGGTACTGGGGCAGCTGTCTGGAACAAAACCGAAAGGATACGCTTTTGCTTTCTCTGGATCTACAAGTGAGTAAGCAGAAATAAGCTGTGCCAGCGTGTGAATATCTTTGGGATTTTGTCTAAAAGGAGAAACAAGAAAGTTACTGAACAGTTCACAAAACTGGAAAAGGAACAGACACAAGTAAAATAACCTCCTCATATCAAACAACAGCAATGACATGTGGACGTCCACATCTTCACCTCCCTGTGCTTACTTCCAGAGCTGTTCTAGGTCACTAATGGCCTCCTTCTTCCGCCCGTATTTGAGTTTGAAGTTTGCAGCTTCTCTTATCAAGGACAAATGAGCAGGAGATTTTGGCTACAGTTTCAATGAAAAGTAAAAAGTTTTAAGGTCATTATCTGCAAGTCAATGACGTTATATTCATTAGACCTTCAAAATGCATCAGTCCATTAAATTCCTCATCTAAAATTTTAGTGAATGCCTGAAACAACAAAATCATTCACATATATACAGGCAGGGAGGTAGACAAATTAGTACAAGTAACCACCAATTTATGAATCTGCAACACATCCCAGTTCTATTAAGGCTGCCAACAGCTAGCAGCTTACCCTGCCAACCAAATCTTAAAGACACATCACTGCAGTTCTCAAACACTGGAACAGTTCCTGGTCACTGATGCCCCTCTACCACCAACAGTGATAACGGCACAAATGCTGCTTGTGTCGTGTATGTTTCTGTGTAAGCTGCATGTTGTGGCCGAGAGCCCCGCGGTGGGAAAGGCAAGATGCTCCTGTCAGACGGAGACACGTAAGCAAGGATTTCATGTGAACTCTTGCAATTGTCACTACTACTTTTTGGCTCTGCTCCCTTACATGCAACCACATACTACAGGTTAAATACCCCTTACCTAAAATGTTTGGGACCAGAAATGCTTCAGATTTGGGAGTTTTTTGAAATTTGGAATATTGGTTGATCCTTAATCCAAAAACAAAATGCTTCAAACTTCAAAACTTTCTGGTGCTTGGAAGGTTTCCGATCTGGACATCTGGGTTAGGGATGCTCAATTTGTATCACTCCTTCTTATTTCTTGAGATTATCCACACAGGAACAGGAAAAGCACAAATGAGCCCCCCCGCCCTCAATTTGTAGCCATCATTCCAAGTACACTTATTTGTGCCTGGTATACTGAAAACTGTCCTCATGATGCCTCACTCTGCTTACTTACCTGCTGGTTCTGATACCACTGGATAGCTTGGGTGAAGACCTCGATGGCACTATCAATGTCTTCCTCATGGCTGTACATGGTCACTAACGCAGACACCTGCCCAGCCAAAGGTATAAATAAGTAAGTAAAACTCTTCCTTCACTCCAAGAATACACTTATTGAAAATGAAAAACATGAAAGAAACAGCAAATGAGGATTTCTAGGCTTTCTGCCAGCACCAAGTTCATCAGAAAACTCTTCACAGAATGTAACTTTATTCCTAGATAGATTATGAACAGTGTTTTCCAAATATGAATGTAGTTACCTAAAAATACACTATTTCTCTTCAGCAGTGCTAGTCCCCAGTCTGACAAGCACAGAAGGTGAAAACAAGCATGTAGAAACGTCTACACAGCAAGACATTGCTCAACACTGAGGTGTGTGATCCGTGAGTAAATGCTAGTATAGCGGACTGCCTGTGAGGAGTCACATGGGACTTGAGCTACATAAAGCCAGTTCAGAGCTTGCCTAGGGGACAAGCAAGGAGGGACGTATGTCTGATGGGGCTGGGGGATGGGGCTAAAGGAGGAAGAGGAGCAGTAGGAGATAAGGATAGAAAGGAAACAAAAAAAAGTTGGATCTTTAAGAAAAATCAGTAAACTAATAAACTTCTAGATAGACTGATCGGGGAAAAAAACAGACACAAATAACTAATATCAGCAATGACAGAGGTCTACAGATATCAAAAGGATATCAATTTAGGTTAAGAAATTCCCTACCCAGGTCTGAGATTATTTGAGGTTGGCATTTAGTGATAACATCAGACCTAAACAGTGCCTGACACATCTGAATACCAAGGGAATATCACAAACTTTCAAGCCAATAAATTCAATAACCTGCATGAAATGGATAAATTCCTTGAAATGTAACAGAAGTTCAGACGTTAAATATTACAAACATTTTATTACAGCCATGTGGTGGATTTGATAGTGACATCAAATAATTGCAGCATGATGCTTTAAATGAGTCTTCAAGAGAAGGCATCACCATAAGACTGTTGCACATTTACTGAGTGTCAAACACAAACACACTGTGTTCGAGGACACAAACATGAAGTAAACAGTTCCCGTTCCAGACAGACATCCCACTACACAATGACGGGAGACACATGCTTTCATGGCTGTATTAGTAATCTAAACTTTAATACTTGAATAATCAGAGAACAGTAGGCCACTTTTACTCAAGTGTTTAACTCAAAGAAATCACAATGACAACATAATAAACACAGTTTGGGTTCAGCAATTCCCTACACAGGTCTGAAGTGATGGGAGGCTGACCTTCAATGATATGGCCTAAATATTATAGTGCCTGGCGCTCTGACTGGGTAATAACAAACTGCAAACCAGCCCACAGCTGAGTACTGCATGAATTACATTTCTATCCTTCTGACTATATTGGGATATAAGCAGAAATTAAAATACAGAGAAACATCATACACAGAGACAATCAACTCTACTACTTTTTCAGTCTTGTAGCACTTTATTTATAAACTCACCATGCCTGGTTTATGCTTTAACTTCTCTATGCTTCTCAATATTAGACATGCTTTGGAAATATTACCTTAAGAGATTAAAAACAAAATCAGTATCACATTGAAGAAAGTATATTACAGGGGGAAAAATAACCACAACATTTTACTTTTGCCCACTACTTTCCCTCAGGACAGCAGCCCTGAGTTGTAACATCTCTACATATACAAGCTCTGGGGACGTGGGCATAGGGCACTTCACTTAGTTACTCTACAGAGCAGGAAAATGAGTTCTAAGGAAATGATACACCTTGCTTACACTCAGAAAGGAAGTTACTGGCAGAGCTGTTACCAGAGACGAAGTTGCCAAATGCCTAGTCTACTGAGTTCCATTTCTTTATAGTTAGATTGGAACATTAAGGTGCGGACTCTTTCCCTAAAGACCTTGAAAAATGTTAACTGTGGACATCAGTGCAACAGAAAAGTCATGGTGTTGAAATTCTGATTTTCCCACTCACCGCAAACCTCAACAATTTAAACCTGTCAGTCTTTAAAAGCAAAATAAACAAAAAACCATGACAGACTCTCTCTCAGTAATTTCAGAAAGATGAATAATCCATGCAAAAATAAACTAAAAATCGGGTATGGTAAGAAGATAAAGGGGGGCAAGCAAAAGAAAGAGCTGGTAGAAGAAGGAAAAACAGGGAGGAGGGTAAAGAAATGTGAGAATGCGGTTAGCAGGAGCTCAGCAGGTTTCTGAACACTGTCTTCATTACCGCCCACTAAACAGACTTTTCCCCCAAATTTCCACTATCTCCCCCCCTCCATGAAATTCTCATTTCAGTTGGCATAACATCTAAAATTCTGACTGAATATCACTTCCACCAAAATTGAACGTTCCATACCAGAGCTGTGTGATACAACTTTCTACGACAAGGGGAGCTGACACTGGTGCTATCCAATATGGCAGCCACCAGCCTTAGCTTCCGCACTGTAGCTAGTGAAACTGAGGAAGTGAATTTTAAATTTTGCTTCATCTTAATTTAAACTTATAATAGTTACAAATGGCTAGTGGCTACAATATTGGACAATATACCTCCAGATAATTTTTCAAGGTACATTCAAAATCACAAAGGTCACACAGCAATGCTGCCATCCCATATCAGAGTGCCAGGTGGAGTCCTGGCTGCTCCACTTCTGATCCAGTTTCCTACTAATGTGCCTGGGAAAGCAGCAGAAGATGGTCCAAGTATTTAGGACTCTGCTACCCATGTGGGAGACCCAGATGACGTTCTTATCTCTTCGTTTTGGTCTGGCCCTGCCCTGGCTGTTGCAGTCATTTCGGGAGTGAGCCAGCAGGTGAAGATACCTGTCTTTCCCTTTCTCTCTCTGTAACTGTACCTTTCAAATAAATAAATCTTTTTAAAAAATAGCACGGTAACCCCTTTCTTATTTCAAGCGAATATTACATACTCAGTAAATCTGTGTAAAATGGCTTTTTGGAATGATAGAGCCTTTTGTTTCGACTGTCAAAGCACAGACTGAAAATCATTCTAACAATTTAGGAATTAACATAAGAAAAGGGTCAACTAGTTCATTACTCAATCTGTTGGACGTTATACAATCTAGCTTCATGCTTTAAACACTACTAACTATGCTTTACCATTATGCATAATGTCTAAAATTATATAGCTCATAACTTCAGAATCATTCCAGCCCCATGGATCCATTATTTTAATGATGGAAATTATTATTATTTTTAATACCTTGAGAAATTTTCAACTGTGCCATGGTCAACTTAATTTCAGCTGCATTTTCTGGATGTTGATCTGAGAATTCCTAAAATTGTTTTAGTTGGAGAAAAAAAATCACATTTAATATACACAACTAGAAATTACTATTATCTAACCCATACAAAATTTTAAAACCAGTTGTTAAAGTTCTAAACTTTTGGTTTCTGGTCAAAATTTTAACTTGGGAAAAATTGTACTCGACGCCCACTTAGCTTTAAGTAAACTCTGAAATGACTACAGTAACGTCGAGCTTCCTAGACGTCGTTAACAGAACACTAACACAGATCACCACGCAAGGGCAGACGTCTGGCCCAGCAGTTGAGACGCCGGCTAGGACACCACAGCCCACACTGCAGTGCTGGGTTTGTGTCAGCTCTGCTCCCAACTCCGAGAATGCAGACGACTGGGAGGCAGCAGGGACGGCCCAGGCAGTTTGGTTCTTGGCTCCTGGCTTTGGCCTGAAGGGTTTCTGGGCAGTGAACCAGCAAATGGGAGTTCTCTTTTTCTCAAATAATTTTGTTAATCAGAGAAAAAAAAAATCACTGCACACATTTTTTTTCTTTTTCTTGAAAAAAGAAATGGTGATGCCTTACTGATGCTCCCTACTAGACAACTCTGCCTGCCACGATGGTCCTAATTTTACTCCGTCCAACTTTTCAACATAGGCTTCTCAGGAACTTCAAAAATGTAATATTGTAACTGGTTTGGATTGATAAAAACCAAGTTAGCATCCTCGTAATTTTTTAAGGTTTTGGAACAGGACTCACTGGAGATTACATTATTGGAAAGGGAATTAAGCGGCTTCTTGTCATGTAAGCATAAAGCAAACCCGAACTCATGTTAAACGGATCTCCAAACGAAAAAGCATTCTTCAGGGTCTATGACAAATTTGTATGTGGTGTAAATTTACATATAAGCTGCAACCCAAGAATTAAGTAAAGTGACACCGGCATTTGTCTCATGGTATGTTACGTTTCAGTTTGACATCCAAATTTACAAGCCTGTAGGTCATTATAGCGCACCAAAAACGAAACAAGGCAGCAGCTATCTGACTTTTCATTAAAAATTCAAGTAATTCGTTTACCTGAAGCAGCTCTATTGCTTTTGCATGTTGCTTTTCACGGCAGAGCTGGGCAGCTTGGATTAACACTGGCAGGAGATGCTCAGGACTCTGCGACTGTAAACTGGCAGATATTTTGCGGCACTGTTCTGCCTGGAAGATGGTTTCCCCCCAACAGAAATGAGCTAGTTAATGAAAACAAACACTAAACGATCAAAAAGAAAGGGATGGGAAAATCAGTTCAAACAAAACAGTAAACAACGACCCGCCTGAGGCATAAGAATTGATTTATAGTATCTATTCTTCTGATTTGATTTGTGAAAGTCTTCAGTAGAGGTCAAGTGTTAACTATTTGCTTGGTGCTTAAAGGTGCTTAAGTAATAAAAAGGCAAAACACATCCAGTGTAAACATTTGCTTCTAAAACAGAGTGCTTAGGTGTCTTGGTCAAGTATTAGGAGTAACCTGACACAATTCTACATAGAAAAAACATTATCTCAGGGCCGGCACTGTGGTGTAGTTGGTTAAGCCACAGTGCTGGCATCCCACATGGGTGCTGACTCAAGGTCCAGGCTGCTCCACTTCTGATCCAACTTCCTGCTAATACACTTGGGAAAACAGTGGAAGGTGACCTAAGTACTTGGGCACCTGCATCCACGTAGGAGACCCAAAAGCTCCTGGCGCCCAGCTTCAGCCTGGTCCAGCCCCAGCTATTGTGGCCATTTGGGGAGTGAACCAGCGGACGGAAGACCTAACTCTGCCTTTCAAATAAATAAAATAAATCTTTAAAAACATTATCTCTCACTCTCCCAATAAAACTTATGTTACAGAAAGAGTATGAAATCAGAATTTAATTAGAATGCATGTTAGAACTGACCTCAACATTTACAACCTGTGATTTTACACAACCAAAATGAAAGGTGGATCATAAATCTATGATCATGACTGGCATTTGTGGTGACACCATTTAATTCAGAAAGATTGGACATGAAGTAATGAGAAAGTTATCTCATTTAAACATGTAAATATTGTTTTTTTTTAATCCTAAATGCCATCAACCCTGCATCTTTACCAAGAATTGGGCAAATAATTTGTTTAGGAAACAAAATTAACAAGTATGATATATGACACTTTAGAAAAGAAAAAAAGACATTTGCATGGGTTTAAGGCAAAATATACATAAAAATGCTAAGATTGCACAAATATACCTATTATTCTCATGCCATATGATAAAAGGATTAGTCAGGAAACCACAGGTCTATTACCCACCTGGTTTGTGTACATAGCAAGTAAGGCTTTGTTAAATTCTATAGCTTGCAGTTGTTTCTTGGAAAGCTTAAACTCTACACCTTCTGCATTGGTTAATTTCACCTTCTTCTTGGAGTCAAAGACATTTTGGTCCTGACAAAGAAAAGTTCATCCACCATTAACAGAATCTAAGGCTTCAATTCTATTAACATTCTAGGGCCTCATTCCTCTTCCAGTTAGTAATTTTACATAAGTACAACAAGTGGGCTTGAAGATGTCTACCTGGTTGGGTGCTTAGCTGTTAAGATGCTTATAAATTTGTCTTGAACTCTTACTTCATAAAAGTGAACAGGATCTCTAAAATTCAAGTCTAACAGAATAAGTAGGCTTTCTATTTGTAGCTATGAACAGGCTTACCAATTCAGCTTGTTTTGAAGGGGCAATGAATAAGACTTTTGTTTGAAGCCTTTTGAAGAAAAAAATAATAGCATAAATCTTACAGGGTCTCAGGAATAGAAAGAAACCTAACTTTGCGATTTCTACAAGCTATGCCCTTTATTATTTAGATGACAAGTAAAAGTAATTCATTCCTCCTTTTAAGAGTCACTACGTAAGCACACCACTAAACAAACTTCAGTAATATATTCATGCTGCTTTTGATCCATGTTTAGCAGAAAATACTCATTTAACATATCTACTGTTTTTCCCTTCCTAAGGGTCTTCTCAACTAGGCAGAAGAACAAAGAAGGTGAATTTGTGAAATTTCTGTGTGGGCGAATACAGTGCTACTGCCTAAAGAGGGTCCTGCTCAAAGCCACACACTCGGGGCCAGCACTGGGGTGTAGCAGGTAAAGCCGCAGCTTGCCATGCCAGCATCCCATGTGGGTACCAGTTTGAGTCCTGGCTGCTCCACTTCCAATCCAGCTCTCTGCTATGGCCTAAGAAAGCAGGGCCCCTGCACCTGTGGGGGAGACCCAGAAGAAGCTCCAGGCTCTTGATTGGCCCAACTTTGGCCACTGCAGCCATCTGGGGAGTAAACCAGCAGATGGAAGACCTTTCTATCTCTTTTCAACTCTGCCTCTCAAATAAACTTTTTTTTAAAGACATTAGGTATTTCACATACTTTCCTATTCACAATCATGAGGGTACCTCAAAAAGTTCACAGAAAGTGGAATTCTTAAAATTTTATTTTAGTGCCAAAAACCCTTGAAATCCATGCAGTTTTTCATATGTATTTTCTACAAACTTTTTAAGACTCCTCTTTTATGTCTCACAAAAAGAATCTGTCCTAATAAGCATTCCCACATTTGTAAATACGAACAGGTGTGTATGTATATACTCCTGCCAAGATTCAAATGTCAGCACCCATGTTTGAAAACCTAAAACCATGTTAATGGCCTGCACAATCCACAATTATTACTTCCTTTAATGCAATTATTGTGCATATGGGGACTTTCAACATTTCAGCAGGAAAGAGATACCATGAAGAGTAGAAGGGGAAACTTTGGAATCAGAACTTGAACCTGGGGCCGGCGCTGCGGGTCACTTGGCAAACCTCCACCTTGCAGCGCCGGCACCCCGGGTTCTAGTCCCCGTCGGGGCGCTGGATTCTGTCCCGGTTGCCCCTCTTCCAGACCAGCTCTCTGCTGTGGCCAGGGAGTGCAGTGGAGGATGGCCCAAGTGCTTGGGCCCTGCACCCCATGGGAGACCAGGAGAAGCACCTGGCTCCTGCCATTGGATCAGCGCGGTGCGCCGGCCACGGCGGCCATTGGAGGGTGAACCAACGGCAAAGGAAGACCTTTCTCTCTGTCTCTCTCTCTCACTGTCCACTCTGCCTGTAAAAAAAAAAAAAAAACAAACAAACAAACAAACAAAAAAAAAAAACAAAAAAACCTGAACCTGAATCCAAGTTCTACCTCTTACTATGATCTTATACAGATTACTCAACTCCCTTTAGTGTGAGATTATCATACTCTGACAAACTGGAGACAAGGACAACCACCTACTAAGATTACTGAGAATTAAATAAGCTGGCACTTGAAAAATCACATGGCTTTCAAGAGAAATCAAATGTCAGACTTCCTTATTTTCTCTCAACTTGGATTTCAAATCTGAACTTGAAATGCTGTTCCACTACAGCAATGTTCCAAATGGTGGTTAATTTGATTGGTATGGCACCCTAAGTCAGGACCACCTATGTGTGGAGGCTTCCAAAAGTCTATACAAAGTGCCCGTTTCTTTTAGTCCCATTCCCCATGAACTTTTTGAGGCTCCCTCCCCTGTACACACTTGGAATGTTTTACAAAAGGTGAGGGAGAGGAAGGAGACAGGACCTGCCCTCAAAAAAAAAAAAAAAAAAAAAAAAAAAAAAAAAGATAAAGAAAATCACACAACTGGTTCAATAGCTGAAAAAATTACATAAAATATACATACACCTAAAGTTTAAGTCCAAACAGTGTGTATCTCTAACAGAGAATTCTCCAAATGACGATAAACTGGGAGAAGGGGATGATTTTAAGGTCTGGAGTAAGTTTTTATTACTTAGATATTATTTACAGAATTATCATCATTATGAGAGTTGAGTAATACTCTCCAGTGTGATTTTACTACAACTGTCCTTTTTCTGTCATGGAAAAAAAGAACATTTATCTGAGAACACAGCTGGGGTAAACTGCTTTCAGTATAACTGGACATGTAGGAAGGACATGGACATGCCATACCTTGTTAATGGTAATGATGTTATTTGCAATTACAGCGAGTAATCCCACATCTGTTGGCCTGAGAACAAGAAGCAACAGTCAAAAGCAAAGAAAACATTTATAAGAAACCTCACCCCCCTCTAAGAGTCACTTCATCTAAATAATGCACTTACTTCAGTTTTATTATCTGATTGTACAGCTGCAAAGCCTCCTCCGTACGACCTTGAAGCTGCAGAATGTAGGCCATCTGACCGTGAATGATGGCCAGTTCTGCCTCTGGGTCCTCCTCAGTCACATCCTAAGTGGGAGAAGAAATATCTTTCTGCTGTAAATGTTTCAAATTGATGCACACATCTGTCCAGTGATCCAAACACCCAGAAGATGTACAATCCTGAGGAGGACAGCTAATTGCAGAAATTCTCCCACGGAGTCACCTCTTTGAAATTTAGGAAGTGCACCATAAGAGTAGTTTAAGTGAAAATGGCACAAATGTTTTGGAAGAACACGGCAACAAACTCAGGAATACCACTTATTGATCATTATCTTCTAATTCTTGAGAATGAAAAAAACAGTATGAGAGATCCAGCACACAGGGGTTGGCACTGTGGTGCAGCAGGCTGAGCTGCCGCTTGCAACGCTGGCACCCACATCACAGTGGCGGGTCAAATCCTGGCTTCTGATCAAATCAGCTTCTGATCAGCTCCCTGCTAATGCACCAGGGAAGGAAGCAGATATGGGCCAACTACTTGGGCCCTGCCACCCATGTGGGAGACCTGGATGGAGTCCTTGGCTCCGGGCTTCAGCCTGGCTCAATTCCCCAAATGACCACGACATCTGGAACTGGGCATGTCAGGAGCCAGGAGCTGCTGCCAGTCTCCCATGTGGGCGTAAGGGCCCAAGCAAACTGTGGTAATTTGGAGAGTGAACCAGTAGTTAGAAGACCAATCAACTGACCTCTCTCTCCTCTCCTCTCTCACCTACTCTACCTTACAAAGATCTTAAAAAAAAAAAAAAAAAGCAGGAGTAGACATTTGGAATTCTGGAAACATAATTTTCCCCTAAGAATAATTTTAAAGACCTTTCTATTTTAATCCTACCATAACTCTAACCTAAAGATTTTAAAAATTCGCAGCCAGGGTGGTGGTGCAGCAGGCTAAGTCACTGCCTGCGATGCTGGTATCCCCTCGAGCGCTGGTTCAAGTCCTGGGTGCTCAGCTTCGTGATCAGCTTTCTGCTCATGCGCCACAGCAAACAGTGGAGGATGGCCCAAACACCTGGGCCCCTGCCACCGCCATGGGAGATGCAGATGGAGTTCCAGCTCCTGGCTTCAGCCTGGCCCAGCTCTGGCTTTTGCAGCCATTTAGGGAATGAACCAGGGAATGTAACTCTGCCTCTCAAATAAATCTTAAAAAAAAGACTTAAGCAAACAAATTCTGTAACTACAGTACAGCTCTCTTACCTACTCCAGATGGATGTACATTCTCCGTTCCTTCTGGAAGTCTGAATGATGCTCACTTACACTCAATGTTCATGCTATGAGCTCTGGGTGTGTGTTTTTTTTTTTTTATTATTTTAAAAGATTTTTCTCTTCTGCTTCCTTCCCAGGCAGATTAACAGGAAGCTGGATGAGAAGCTGAACAGGGGACCAGCACTGTGGTGTACTGGGTTAAGCCACAGCCTGCACAGCATTCCATATGGGTGCCAGCTCAAGTCCTGGCTATTCCACTTCCAATCTAGCTCCTTGCTAATTGTCTGGGAAAGCAGCAGAAGATGGCCCAGGTGCTTGGGCCCTTGCGCCCACATGGGAGACCTGGATGGAGCTCCTGGCTCCTGACTGGCCCAGTTCCAGATGTCGTGGTCATTTGGGGAATGAATCAGTGGATGGAGATCTCTCTCTCTCTTGGTCTCTCCTTCTCTCTGCAATTCTGCCTTTCAAACAAACAAACAGAAGCAGCAGCAGCAGCAGAGCAGCCAGGACCTACACTGCCACCTTGGTGTGGGATGCCGGCGTTGCCAAGCGGCAGCTTAACCTGCTCTGCCACAACACCAGCCCCTACACGTTGGTTTTTTATTGGCTAGGTTTAAGTCAAGGAATAGTAAGAAATTAGTGAGAAAGTTAAGATCTATAAGATGCGGCGCCGGCACACCGGGTTCTAGTCCCAGTTGGGGCACCGGATTCTGTCCCGGTTGCCCCTCTTCCAGGCCAGCTCTCTGCTGTGGCCAGGGAGTGCAGTGGAGGATGGCCCAAGTGCTTGGGCCCTGCACCCCATGGGAGACCAGGAGAAGCACCTGGCGTTGGATCAGCACAGCGCTGGCCATAGCGGCCATTAGGGGAGTGAATCAACGGAAGGAAGACCTTTCTCTCTGTCTCTCCCTCTCACTGTAACTCTCTCTCCGTCTCTCTCTCTTACTAATTCTGCCTGGCCAAAAAAAAAAAAAAAAAAAAAAAAAAAAAAAAAAAAAGATCTATAAGAACTCAACTGACTTTAACATACAGTACAGCATTTTGAAAAACAAAATAGGATTGGGCATCTGGCACAGTAGTTAAGACAACACTTGGGATGCCTGCAGCCCTGTAAGAGCACCTGGGTTCAAGACCCAGGTCTCCCTCTAATAGCTCTCTGCTCACGTGCACCCCAGGAGTCAGCCACCTCCACAGGAGACCCAGACTGTGGTCCTTGCCCAGCTCCAGGTGCAGCTGGTATCGGGATGAACCAACAGACAGTAGATCCGTCTCTACTTTCAAATAAAATCCAAGTATTTTTTTTTAAGTCTGGGTTTAGTAACAGTGGAATACTTACTGAGTCTTCTGAAAATGAATGGCGGCACAGATCTATAGAAGAAAATTGTTCTACCGTTAGTATTGCTGGGTAACTGCCATTTCTTTTACCATTACAAAGAGAACTAAACTCTTAAGCAGAATATTTCAAAATCATCTTAAAATAAGCCCATGTGAAATTTATATTAGCATCAAATATACTACTGCGAAGGGCATTTAAAACAAATAAATGTAATAAATGCTGGCTGCTAAAAGTCAATTACAGGAGAGCACAAAAATAAAGACAATAATCCTATCTCCAGGGAAAGAGTGCTGGCATTTCAGTTTATTTTTTAAAAATATAAATGGAGAGCTGCTTTTTGAAATGAAAGTGGTATATTCAAAATACTCTTTGGAAACTGCTCATTCCCTACTAATATACTGTGAACATCTTCATTACAATACAGATCTATTTTTTTACATTATTGATTTTAATGACTGCATGGTAATCTACTTTATTATTATAGTAAAGCAACCAATTCTTTAACAGTACCGAAATTAATGCTGCTCCCACATTTTTGTTCTTACAGGCATCCCTTCAATTAACATTCATAATGATAAAATGAAAACTATCTAATTAATTCATCAAAAGAATTATTTTTCTGGAAATGGCATTCCTGGATCAAAGGGTATCAAATTTGAAAATCTGCTACACAGCATCGAACTGCCCAATGCAGAGCCTGTCCTACTTTTACACTCAAAGCTGCCAGATATGAGTGTCCTTGTCCTATACCACTGCCAGACATGAGAGTGTCCTTGTCCTTTACCACTGTCCACAGTTGGGGACGACCAAGCAGCTACAGCTCTTACACAACTCCTCCTTCTCGTCATGCTCTATCCACTGCTTTCATTTTAACCTCCAACATCTAACAGTAAAACAGGCCCTGTTTCACCTTCTTCCTTCCTGCCATTGCAGTCCCTATGGCATCCTTTTATAGCTTACAAGAGAAAATGTCTGGGTCACCACCTGCAGTGCCAGTATCCCATATGGGCACAAGTTCTAGTCCTGGCTGCTCCACTTCCAACACAGCTCTCTGCTGTAGCCTGGGAAAGCAGTGGAAGATGGCTCAAGTGCTCAGGCTCCTGCCCGACATGGGAGACCCAGAAAAAGCTATAGGCTCCTGGCTTCTGATCAGTGCAGCTCCGGCCGTTGCGGCCAGTTGGGCAGTGAACCAGTGGATGGAAGACCTCTCTCTGCCTCTGCCTCTCTGTAACTCTTCCTTTCAAATAAATAACAAATAAGTCTTTTAAAAAAAAAGAGAGAGAGAAAATGTTTGCAGAAGAAACACGTAAATGTTTCAGGAGCTGACACCAGACAAGAGTATTTTAACAATTTTTTTTCCTAATTGAAAGCATCAAAGCACGTAAATTTTGTATATAGGAATTTATTACATGAAATTAAAATGTGCTCAAAGGGTGCTAATAATACATGAATGAGGTATATATGGCATATGTCAGTACTTACTTGGGTGCTGGCTTAACAACCGCAACTACACTTGCTGAATGCATACATTACATGCTATGTACCACTGTAAATGCCTGACATTAACACTTTGCTTTTAACAGTCATAGTTGACTTGTCTCAAAATTGAAATTTTTTAATATCTAGTGTGCCTGAACATGGACGAGTGGATTGGCTTAAGGATTAGACAGAAACACAGGAGATAGTTAAAAAGAGAATGGCTAGCTGAACTTTGAGAATTTCCCAGGTTTCATCAATAACTCCCACTTGATAATTTCACAAAACTCAGTGTGATTTTTGAAGATACTCTGCCAAGTCACATGCATGTTATATTGACAGATAATCTGAATCAATGCCAACCTTCAGCTTTCTGTAGGATTTTCATTGCCTGGTTCAGGTGGCCCTGTCCTATCAGTGCACACGCAGCATTGTAGCACAGTTCATGGGTGCCTTCCTGCAGGCCCAAGTTCTCCTGTCAGGGAGCAAGAGACCAGTCAAACACCAGACACAGATACTCCTTCCCGGCTACCCAGGTACACAAAAGGACACTCACCGGAACCACTTTTTCCCAATTGCTTTGAGCTGCAACAACTGCTGAAAGGTTTGTTTTCCTCTCCTCGTCATAATCATCCTGGGAGTTTCGGACAAGATCTCTGTACACAGTTAAGCACTCATCATAGCGTTCCAGGCGATATAACTAAAAGACAAAAAAAGCAAGTGAACAATCAAGGAAGACAAACACAGCGTTACGTGTGCAACACCATTCACACCGTTTTCACAACCACTAAGGAGAAAGACTAATTCAGTGTAACATATGTAACCACCATTTATCTTTTGTAATTTTTAATTACTTTTGTGTGCTAATATATTTTTTTCTTTTTTTTTAATATTTTATTTAATGAACATAAATTTCCAAAGTACAGCTTACGGATTACAATAGCTTCCCCCCATAACTTCCCTCCCACCCACAACACTCCCCTCTCCCACTCCCTCTCACCTTCCATTCACATCAAGATTAATTTTCAATTATCTCTATATACAGAAGATCAATTTAGCATATATTAAGTAAAGATTTCCACAGTTTACACCCACACAGAAACACAAAGTGTAAAATACTATTTGAGTACTAGTTATAGCATTAATTAAACACCTGAGAGTAATTGTGTATTAATTACAGAGTTCAACCAATAGTTTTAAGTAGAACATAAAAAATACTAAAAGGGTAAAGTATTAAGTTCTTTTTTTGGTTTGTATGTTATATATATATATATTTTATTTAATAAATGTGAATTTACAAAGTGCAACTTGTGTATTGTTGTGGCTCCCCGCCCCCAACCTCCCTTCCTCCCGTGGCCCTCCCCTCTCCCACTCCCTCTCCCATCCCGCCCTTCATCAAGTTTCATTTTCAATTACCTTCATATACTGAAGATCAACTTAGTATATACTAAGCAAGGATTTCAACAGGCTGTGTGTGCTAATATTTTTAAAAAGGACTCGCAATGAGTCCTCACATATTGCAGATTTGAAGAGTTTAGAAAAATAATTTTCTTCACTTTCCTTCTTGAAGTCAGTCAGGTGCCTGAGTGGCTTATGAAAAGAAACCTTTCTAAAGAAATGAACCCAATTACCTGCATCTGAATTACAATGAAAAAAATTTTCTACAACCAAAAATCATTAAAACCCAGCCCCAGTAAACAGAAACAAAATAAAATGGTAATAAGCACTTAATATTGCCTAGTTCACTATATATAATTCACTTTTCTTTTTCAGAAACCAGCTACTGTACACGTACACAATATAATTCCTGCCTATTTTATTCAAGTTTTCTCCAAGGACAGTAACAACAGCTACTCTGGATTAATGAGTTCACTACGCACGACAGAGACGGTCCCTTCATCAACCTCAATGCTGGAATTCACCCGAAACTTACCCAGTTTACCTTAGGAGTTCTTCACAGAACCATAATCCATGAACTTGCCCAAACACTTCATAAGCTCATCTATATTGATAAACTTACATTCCTTCTTGGGGACAACCACATTATCTGCGCTAAACTGACATTTCACAAATCTTTTGAGAGGATTTTGCTAGCTTTAACATATATACTTCTGTCCTCCCTTCATTAACATTCTTTTTTTTTTTTTTTTTTTTTTGACAGGCAGAGTGGACAGTGAGAGAGAGAGACAGAGAGAAAGGTCTTCCTTTTTTGCCGTTGGTTCACCCTCCAATGGCCGCCGCGGCTGGCGCGCTGCGGCCGGCGTACCGCGCTGATCCGATGGCAGGAGCCAGGTGCTTTTCCTGGTCTCCCATGGGGTGCAGGGCCCAAGCACCTGGGCCATCCTCCACTGCACTCCCTGGCCACAGCAGAGAGCTGGCCTGGAAGAGGGGCAACCGGGACAGAATCTGGCGCCCCAACCGGGACTAGAACCCGGTGTGCCGGCGCCGCTAGGCGGAGGATTAGCCTAGTGAGCCGCGGCACCGGCCAACATTCTTCTATTAGGCTTAATTTTAAGTCTCAAAATCCTTATAGAATAAAATATATTCATGATTTCACAGGCTGAAATCAACCAAATTCTCATCCACCAGGACCGTCTCCATTGAAAAAGTAAAAGTTAAATAACTGAAAGAGGTACTATAAATAAGTGTATAAACTCACTGGTCTTCAGCTTTCTAAGTAAAAAGTCCAAATTTCACAGAATGATTCTTCTACTTTCTTTAATGTTCTAAGTACCCTGAGGAAGTCACTTGTTCACAGAACACTTGATTATGCAACCGTTGGTAAGAAAATCAAGAGGCGGGAACACGTTCAAACCTCGAGAACTGGTTTGGTGGCCACGTTTGTGGAGCAGCAGGATGGGCTGGGTTTCCTCACCCCTGCTCCCTGCTAGAGGCAGAGGCATGCTCACTCAGGACGACTGAGAACAGGTACTTTAAAGCAGTAATTACCACTTGTCCATAAAGCTCCTTCAGTTTGTCTGTCTGCTGGTTGGCACTCTCTATGGTCTTCAAGGCGTTCTCAATTCTGTTTAGCCTGTACTCACAGTACGCCTTCTCAAAGGAGAGCGAGTTGCTGGAGAAGGAAAACACCAGAATCTGTTACCATCTGACAATGCAGAGCACCCACCATATGCCAGAATAGTCTTGGCACTTACTGTGTATCCATCTATCCGATCCCCATTACAACAAGAAACTCACAGAGGTTAGTAATTTGTCCAAATATCAGACAGCTCTTAAGTGACAGAAAATAATAATTACCCTAGCCTTTCTTGCTTAATGGATATTCGTATTAGAATTACTTGCCTTTTGAAACCAACATTTAAGAAGAAAATCACAGGAGAAGGCAATTAGCACAGCACTTAGGATACCTGCATCCTGCCTGCCTCCCATGTGAGAGCCCGGGGTGCAGGGTGGAGTCCCACCTCTGCTTCTGACTCCAGCTTCCTGCTCAAGGGCACTCAGGGAGGCAACAGACTCAATGGCTCGAGGAGTTGGGTCCCTGCCACCCACAAACGAGACTCAGACTGGGTTCTGGGTGACTGTCTTTGGCCTGGCTCAGCCCTGGCTATTGTGTGGGTTTGGGGGGATGAACCAGTTGATGGAAAACTTTGCCAATTTCTGTCCTCTCTGCCTTTCAAATAAAATGAATATATATATATATAATGAATATAATAAAAACGGATATATATGTATATAATGAATATAATAAAAATTTAAAAAGGCAGTGGCAGGGACAACCCTTGGGATGTCCGCATCCTACACTGGAGTGTCTAGGATAGTTCCACCTCTGCCTTCCAATCCTGCTTCCTGCTAGCATGCCTGGGAGGCAGATGATGGTTTAAGTACTTGGGTCCTTGAACCATGTAGGAGTCCTGGATTGAGCCTGGGCACCTGGCTTTGGCCTGGCCCAGCCCTGGCTGTTGCAGGCACTAAGGGAGAAAATTAATGGATAGAAAATCTGTCACTCTGCCTTTCAAATAAAGAAGTAAATAAATCTTTTTTAAAAAGTATATAAAAAGCAAATTAAGTTAGCTAAATAACTGTCTTAGATACAAAGAGAATCGTAACACTGTTTTTAAAGGATTACTCTATTTATTATTAAAAATAAAATTTTGGAGCTGGCATTGTGGCGTAGTGGGTTAAGGTGCCATCTGTGATGCCGACATCTCATAGGGGCACTGGTTCAGACCTGGGGCTCACTTGCAACCCAGCTCCCTGCTGATGCACCCAGGAAAGCAGCAGAGGATGGCCCAACTACTTAGGAGCCTGCACCTACACGGGAGACCTGGAAGAAGCTCCTGGCTCTGGCTTCTGCACAACTGAACCCCAGCCACTGTGGCCATTTGGGAAGTGAACCAGCAAATGGAAGACTTCTCTATCTTTCCCTCTCTAACTCTGACTTTTAAACAAATCCTTAAAAAATAAACACACTTTTAATTCAATTTTTCCACAAACTTAAAAAAAAGTTGTATTTGTTTTTATTTGGGAGTAAGGGCTCCCCCTCCACTGGCACACTCCCCAAATGCCCACAGCAGTCACTTGGTCAGGCTGATGTGGGGAGAGGAAAATCCAATCCAGATGTACATGCGGGTGGCGGCAATTCACCCACTTGAGCCTTCACCACTGCATTAGCGGGAAGCTGGAGTTGGGAGTAAGGAGCCTGAACTGGGCATCAAACCCAGGCGCTGCAACGCTGGGTATGGGCATTCTGACTTCCAGGCCACATGTCTGCCTCCGAATGGGTCAGCTTCACTTTCTCTCACCTATTGATAAAACAGGGAGCCATGAGGTGGCGCTTTGGCCTGTGTTTAAGACACTGGTCGGGATGCCTGCATCACATATCAGACTGCCTGGGTCTGAGTGCCAGCTCTGCTCCCAATTCCGTCTCCCTGCTCATGCACAGCCTTGGAGACCGCAGGTGATGGCTGGAGCAGCTGAATCTCTGCCACTGAGTTCCCAGCTCTCAGCCTGGCCCAGATCCCTCCACTGCGGCATACGGGGAAGGAATCGGGGGTTGGAAACTTCTTGTCTGCCTCTCTCTGTTTCTTTACAAAGGTTACAGACAAAAATTGCTTCTTTTAGCTTGTTCAAGAAACAATCAATTAGCAAAGAAAGAAGATAACTAGAAATCTCAACATAATACAGTCAACTGGCAAACACACAACTATGAAAGCACTTAAATACAGAAACTTAAAATCTCATCTATATTAATGATAATGCAAACTCCTTTTGAAGTTTCAATCATAACACAATAGGAAAAATATTTACCAAAGCAACTAGTAATATGTTTTATTTAATTACCTAAAAAAACTTGAAAACCTCCCTATTGTACAGAATAGCCAAAATTCAAAATATGGAGTTTTAACATAAACTTTTAAAATAATTTTCTCTTTGAGAGGAAGAGATAAAGAGAGAGAGAGAGAGAGGTAGAGAGAGAGGAAGCAAGAGAGAGAGACCTCCTATCCTAATGGTTTACTCAAGTGACCACTACAGGTGGCAGCTGAGAATTCAATTCAGATCTCTCACGTGGGTGGCAGGAACCCAATTGCTTGAGCCCTCAGCACTGCTTCCCAGGGTCTGCATTAGCAGGAAGGAGGCTGGAGTCAGGAACCAGAGGCAGGTACTGAGCCCAGGCACTTCCGTACGGGATGCAGTTGTTTTAGTCACCAAATGGCCAGCCATCGTGGATACGTTTAATAAAGAAAGCAGTGTCCTCTTTATTTACCTTTAAAGAAAGCTTTACAGTTGGTTTTTCATCTGTAATACACTTACATGACTCAAATATAAAAACAACAAGACATACAAAAAGAGGTTTTACTCCCAGTATCCCATCCAAATCTAACCTGTTCCTCCTCACACTCTACGAGTGACCGTATTTATTCATCGGTTTGCTTTCTAGATTTTGTTTTTACAAACACGAGCAAATACCTACATAAATTACATCTTCTTCTTCTCACTAAAGGAAGTATCCTATATACTGTTCACCTTAGAAACCAGTATGCCATTAGAGAATAAATGTGCTGCAAGCACAATTTCAATACATTTATCTTCTGAGGCCTAGGCATAAATGTAAAACAAAAAACCAAATTACAGTAACAGTGAACAAAATTTTAAAAAACTGTTGTTATGTATTCTAAAGACTATTAAAAATTCTCATCCTCATCTAAATAATCCTCAATAGAGTTGGGTACGGAGGTCAGGCTAAGTCTGCCAAGCTACCCTAACGACCGCTATGAACCGGGACACTTAGACATCCCTAACCTCCACTATGTACTTTCTGGGCCCGAGTTTTAAAAGACCTCTGCAAGTCTTTCTCCCGATATTTTCCAAGGCCTTATTTTATATTCAGGCCCCATTCCTCTCTATGGTTTCTTCCTTCTTAGAGGTTAAAAAGGAAAATAAGGATTTTTTTTAAAAGATATTATGTTTTTTTGGAAAGATTTATTTTATTTATTTGAAAGGCAGAGTTACAGAGAGAAAGAGGCAGAGGCAGAGGCAGAGAGAGGTCTTCTTTCTGCTGGTTCACTCCCCAACTGGCCACAATGGCTAGAGCTGCGTCGATCCAAAGGAGCCAGGAGCTTCCTCTGGGTCTCCACGTGGGTGCAGGGGCTCAAGGCCTTGGCCATCTTCTGCTGCTTTCCCGGGCCATAGCAGAGAGCTGGATTGGAAGTGGAGCTCCTGGAACTTGAACTGGTATCCATATGGGATGCCAGCACTGCGGGCGGAGGCTTCACCCGCTGAGCCACAGCGCTGGCCCCAGACAAGGATTTAAAAAAAGGCTGCCTCGGGCCGACGCTGTGGTGCAGCAGTTTAAAGCCCGGCCTGCGGTGCCAGCATCCCATATGGGCTCCAGTTTGAGTCCCAGCTGCTCCACTTCCAATCCAGCTCCCTGCTAATGCACCTGGGAAAGTGGTGGAGGATGGCCCAAGACTTGGGCCCCTGCACCTACGTGGGAGACTGGAAGAAGCTCCTGGCCTTGGATTGGCTCAGCTCTCACTGTTGTGGCCATTTGGGGAGTGAACCAGTGCATGGAAGACCTCTCTCCTTCTCTAACTCTGTATTTCAAATAAATAAATCTATAACTCTTACAAAAAAAAAAAAAAGCTGCCTACAGTAGAAAAGAACAAAAGTTTCTTTCAGTTTCAGAAACACTACGGGCAAGCCAAGCCCCACCCCCCACCAAAAAACGAAAGACAGGTCAGAAAAGACCGGTGGGGGAAAAGCCACGTTAGAGGTTACAGCTTCAGTACGAATGTTTTACGAAACGCACAGCCAGCTACCTGGTCACTTACTTGGCTAACACTTTGGTGTGGGTATTGATAACATTCAAGGCTTCCTTGAAACTTCCGTTCTGGATAAGGCATACCACTTTACAGTGCAGAGCAGTGACATCATCCTTGTTGATCTGCAGGACTGGAGAACAATTTTAGGAAAGTCATTTTTAACGCAATTCCTTTTTCACATTTTTATTAAATTTTTCCTTCCTCAAGAATCTACACTGCCAATTTTTTTTTTTTTTTTTTTGACAGGCAGAGTAGACAGTGAGAGAGAGAGAGAGAGAGAGAGAGAGAGAGAAAGGTCTTCCTTTACCATTGGTTCACCTTCCAGCAGCCGGTGCGCTGTGGCCGGAGCACGGTGCTGATCCGAAGCCGGGAGCCAGGTGCTTCTCCTGGTCTCCTATGTGGGTGCAGGGCCCAAGCACTTGGGCCATCCTCCATTGCACTCCCTGGCCACAGCAGAGAGCTGGCCTGGAAGAGGGGCAACCGGGACAGAATCCGGCGCCCCGCCCGGGACTAGAACCCGGTGTGCTGGTGCCACAAGGTGGAGGATTAGCCTATTGAGCCACAGCGTGGCCCTACACTGCCAATTTTAATGCATAGAAATGATAAGTCAAAACAGCAAGGAAAAAAATGACCAATGTGCATTCTAACTTAAGTGACAAAGTTATGGATTAGACTTGCAATGAGATAAAGTTTCCCGAGACACACAAACCAAAAAAGTATAATGAAATAATGAAGCAAGAAAGAAGCATGCTATATCCTATGTACTCATACCTCATTACTACACAGAAAAGCAAAAAGATCATTAAGAATTTAGAAACCAAGGACACGTTTGGAGCAAGCATGGTGTCTTGGGCAAATCATTTCACAGCCCAATCTGTTTTCTGATTTTCAAAATGAGTATTGAAAGCACGACCTGTTTTATGAGGTTATCAGGAAGATAAACGAAGGCAGCGTTGTCATGCCGCAGGTTAAACGGCTGTTTAGGACGCTGGCATCCCACACTGGAGTGACAGCTCAAACCCTGGCTACTCCGCTTCTGATCCAGCATCTTGCCAATGTACCTGGGAAGGCAGTGGATGATGACCCAGTACTTGGGTCCCTACCACCTCCATGGGAGATCCAGATGGAGTCCCGGGCTCCTGGCTTCAGCCTGATCTTGCTCAGCCTCAACTGCTGTGGGCATCTGGGGAGTGAACCAGCAGAGGGACGCTCTCTCCCTCTCCCTCTGCCTTGCAAATACATACGGAATTTTGTTTCAAAAAAAGAACAAGAAATAAGAATATCTAGATCTCGCTGACAATATTTCCAAAAAAAAACCTTCAAAATTTCCCTTTTTAACCAAGATAACCAAAGAGAAATACAAGGAAGGACTCAGGTAGCCAAGTTTCAATGCTAACAGCTGTTCAGTGTCAAAATGCCCAGTCCTTGCTTCAGGGAAACTAACAATGGGAGTCCAGTCCTCAGTCTCAGAGCCAAAGGTCTTTCTACCAGTCAAGAAAACACAGGGGTGGGCATTCATTTGGCTTAGCAATAAGTCTCTCCTCTGGACACTCATGTCCTACACTGGAGCCCCTGGGTTCAAGTCCTGGCTCCTCTGCTTGCCATCCCCCGTTCCTACCAATGCCCATGCTGGGGGGCAGCAGATGATAGCACAAAAACACCTGGGTCCCTGTCCCGCACGTGGGAGACCTGGATGGAATTCCTAACTCCCGGTTTTAGCCGGGCCTAGTGCTGCCTGGCTGGTGTGCGCATTTGGGGAGTGAACCAGCAGACTAGGATTTCTCGCCATCTGTTTCTCTGTCTATGCCTTTCAAAAAAAAAAAAAAAAAAAAAAAAAAAAGGAAACCACATAGTGATGAACAAACTGCCTGGCACAATACTGGTTGGAGGCCTAGCCAGAGGCTACAGTTAATTCAAACAAGTTAAGGAATCAAGTAATTTTAATTCATAACTATTTTCCAAAAGTGCACGCTGGGCACAATCACCACTCTTTGACACGGCAAGTGGTAGCTGAAAATTATTTATGTACAGCCTCGTATGTCACTAAGATACGTTTAAGGGCACCACTGCTCTGTACAGCTCAGCCCTGTCTTTGTGATCACATTTCCAAACCTAACATACACAGGTTATATCCCGAGTAGAGAGCGCAGGAGCACAGCCAAGGGGATTAAAATGCATGATCAAGGATTAAAAAAAAAAACAAAAACTAAACCACCGCGGGGAGCTTCGGAGCCTCCCGACGCGGGGCGCCCAGCGCAGGCCCAGCTCTCCCGTCCTGCCATCTTCCCACGCGGGCGCCCACGGCCCACGGCCCGGCTCGCGGGCGGCGGGGAGCCTCGGTCCGCGGGAACCGCAGGCCCGACGCCGCGAGCACCCGTCAGCACCAGCTTCGCAATTACGTGTCCCAGCGGGCCCCCGCCCCCGGCCGCGGCCCCGCGCAGCGCGCTGCCTCGCCGTGCGGACCCGACCGCCGCACTCGCCGGGGCGAGGCTCCGACGCCGAGCGGGAGACGCGCAGAAGGCAGGCGTCGGAGGACAAGTCGCGCAGCCGGCGGGCGCTGCGGTCTCTTTAAATCCCTACCTCGCTCCCCGCGGGGGACACCGGGGGAAGTACACGTGGCGCTAAGCACCCCCGCGACCCCAGGCCGGCCCGAGCCGCCGAGGGGCCGCGACCCGCCCCCGCCTGGCGCTCGGGGCCCGGCCCTGGGCTGGGGGGCGCGGGGGTCTCTCCAGCCCGCGTCTGCCCCGAGGGCTCGCGCGCGGCGGAAGCGGGCCGCATCCTCCCGCCAGCCCGAGACGCCCCGGCGCCCGCGCGACACTCACTCTTGTTGACGGTCTTGAGAGCGCGCGTGAAGTCGCCGTTCTGGCCATAGCGGTTGACTTCGCTCCACAGCGCAGGCACCGACACTCCCCCGCTGCCGCCGCTCGCCATCTTGGAGGAGACGAGGGGCGGGGCGGCGCGATCTCTGCCCCGGAAGAGGATCTCGGAGGCTGCCAAGCCGGGAAGGAAGCCGGTGGTTGCTAAGCATCGCGGAGCCCACCGAGTCTTCGTCCCGGAGTTAGCTGCGGGGACGTAACCTTCTGGTCTCAAGTCTACAAATGTGCTGGAGGCTGTCCTCCTTTCCTGAGCCGGTGTGGAGGAAAGTAACGCACTGCCATGAGGGAATCAGGGTTTGCGAAGACCTTGAATAACTCAATGGAAGAAGGTAGTGGATGAGTCCCAGCTGCTCGACTTCCGATCCAGCTCTCTGCTATGGCCTGGGAAGGCAGTGGAAGATGACCCAAGTCCTTAGGGCCCTGCACCCACGTGGGAGACCTGGAAGAAGCTCCTGCCTTTGCCGTCCTTTGGAGAGTGAACCAGTGGATGGAAGCTAGCTCTCCGTCTCTCCTAACTGCCTTTCAAACAGAATAAATCTTAAAAAAAAAAAAAAAAAAAAAGCTGCCATTTCTTCTTCGTCCCCCACTCCAGCAAGCCCCCCTCCCCAATATTTACTTGAAAATCAGTTACAGAGGAAGAGAAGTATCATAGGTGCTGGTTCACTACTTAAATGGCTGGAACAGCTGCGGCTGGGCCAGGCCAAAGCCAAGAGCCTGGATCTCCTTTGGAATCCCCTGTATGGGTGTCAGGAGCCCAAGTATTGGGGCCATCTTCTGCTTCCCCAGGCGCATTCGCAGGGAGCTGTGGCATGAACTGGCTCATCTGGGAGGCCAGCTCCGCAGGCAGCTGCATAACCGGCCGCCCCAGCATGCCAGCTCCCAGCTCACTCCTTTTTATCCTCCATTATTTCTAAGAGTCATCTTTTAGGAAACCTTGGGCTTTACTGAATGGGGAACATTCTGGTTATGTCCTCTTACAAACCTCTATTTTTGAGTACTGTCATTCCAGGCCCGTGTCTGTCTGGACGATAGGTCTGTGGGGCCAGGGACCCTATTGCCTTGCTCAATATCCCTAGAATCTAGCACACTGCCTTCTGTGAGTACCTTACATAGTTGGGACTCAATAGTTTCCACCCGAGTTCCTGGAGGGCAGAAACTGTGTCCTGTTCTCAACTACGTTGTATGGTATCTGCTGAATTTCACATCTGGTCAGTGTAGGACAATGCAGAAACAGCACATGATGGTATAATCCTTGTGGACTAGTAAAAATCGCACTGTGAAATTGTGGTAGGTTTCAAGCCAGTTATGCCCACATTTCAGGGGTGGGAGTTCTAGATGACATCCAGTATAGCCAAGATCTCCTTGGGTAATTTTTCAGTTTTGCAGATTCCATTGGGTTCTCCAAAGATGTTTACAGTACATCCCAAAGTTAAGAGCTCCTGCCTTTGAACTGCTTTGCAAACTTCCCAAAACGATTTGAGAGTTGACATTTTTCTTTTAAGATGATTTCCCTTTTTTGAGATTTACTTGAAAGGCAGAGATCTTCTATCAGCTGGTTAACTTTTCACTTGCCCACTGACTGCCAAGGGTGGGCCAGGCAGGAGCCAGAAGTGAGAACTCTATTAGGTCTCCTTTGTGAGTGGCAAGGTCCCAAGTACTTGGGCCTCATCTGGTGCCTTCCCAGGCACACGAACAGGAAGCTGGATAGGAAGTGGAGGAGCTGTGACTCGAACTGGGCAATTCAAAGGGTGCTTTAACCTATTGCACCAAAACACCTACCTTGGATTTCTCTTTTTCTAAAAAATATTTTTATTTGAAAAGGGGAGAGGGAAAGAGGTCCAACCCACTGGTTAACTTCCCAAATACTCCTAACAGCTCAAGCTGAGCCTAAGACCAACCAAAGCTGAGACCCAGGAACTCAATCCAGGTTTCCCATGTGGGTGGCAGGACCCAGGTATCTGAGCCACCAGTCTAATCAAAGCTTAAAAACACATTTAGGTGGAGTCTTTGCCAGGTGAGAACAAAACCTGAAAGAGCATCCAGTGTGACCTCCCGGATACCATGAACTCAAAGTTTAATGATGTTAAAAACTCAAGTCTTTTTAAATCATTCTTGCAAAGTAGCACAAAATAGAGAACTGAATACTAGGCCAGCGCCGCGGCTCAATAGGCTAATCCTCTGTCTTGCAGCCCCGGCACACCGGGTTTTAGTCCCGGGAGGGAGCCCAATTCTGTCCTGGTTGCCCCTCTTCCAGGCCAGCTCTCTGCTATGGCCCGGGAGTGCAGTGGAGGATGGCCCAAGTCCTTGGGCCCTGCACCCCATGGGAGACCAGGATGAGTACCTGGCTCCTGCCATTGGATCAGTGCAGTGTGCCGGCTGCAGCACGCCGGCCGCAGCGGCCACTGGAGGGTCTTCCTTTTGAAGACCTTTCTCTCTGTCTCTCTCTCTCACTGTCCATTCTGTCAAAAAAAAAAAAAAAAAAAAAAAAAAAGACTGAATACTACGAGTTTTATAATCCCCCATCTCTGGCAGATTAGCTAGGCACAGCTCATCAGAGCCTAGAAGTGTGAGGGAAATAAACTTTAAATTACGTTGTCTCCTATCCTGGAGCTCATGATCCAATAGGGAACTACCAGCGGCTGGAAGTTTTCATGCAGCCAAAGACGAAGCTCTAGTAACTAACAAATTTTAATGACATAAAACAGGCCTTACAGAAGGCACAGATGCGTGCAGTCCCAAACTCAGGAGGAAGACAAGTTGCCTTGAGGGAGTCACAGCAGCGAGCCTTAACTAAAGCCCATGGAGAGCCTTCAGGAGAGCCCACCAACCAATCTACTGCAATTTTCTAGGGGCAGGTCAGTAACTGGTATTTTCAAAGGAGTGTATGCTGTGTGAGAGCTTATGATAGAGGTCCTTCGACAAGCAACCTGGAAAAGGCTGGGCTGAGAATGGGAACTTGTCAGGCCAGGGTGGCATGAGGACAGAGGTTAATCAGAAATTAAACTGCATGGGTGATGAGCAAGATGGGAATGGACAGACGAAATCAGACTTCTGACTTGGGACAGTGAGTGCAGTGAGAGTTCCAGGCTTAGCAGAAGAATGAAGTAAGGAGCACTCTGGTTTTTATGGGGGGAGAGGGCTGCCCTTGAAAACAGACAAGGAGGAATGGACAGTCGAAAATACAACCTAGATGCACAGAGCTGCCAGGAAGGCTCCAGCCACCTAAGAAATATCACTCTAACCTTCTCAAACTTACGGGTTGAAATATGGAGGGTGAGTAGTATTTTATAAGAGGGCAATCATTGTTGGCATAGTGAGACAACAGTGACATTTATGAAATGGAATTCTTTGGTTATGTTATGTACCTAACAATGTAGATAACAGACTAGCTTTTTAAATGTCCTTATAGCAATTCCACTACCTGTAAAGAATATTAAATATGAGATTTTCTAATCCATGAATCGAGAGGAGCAGCATTTATTCACCAGTAAATTTGGTTTTGATTCAACTCTACTGATTTTTTTAATTTCGCAGCTAAACCAAAAATTTAGTTTTTCCCCTACAAAATGCAATAGTGTTCTTTCTTATGAGTTAGATTCTCTGATTTTCTTGTCAGCCTGCTTCAAGGAAATCCACGTGTTCAATATGCTTGCTCGCAGTTTGGACCACACCAAATGGTTATTTAATCCGAATATCTGAGCAGCAAACTGAGCAGATCCTTCCGGAGAAAGAATGGTTGAACAGCTGACACCTGTTGGTTCAGAAAGGGAAAGACAATTCAGCTGTCAGTCAATAATGAGACCACCTTGCAAACCCTTTAATGCATGGATACATACAACACAGTAAGGTAAGACAATAAAAAGCTAATGTCCTTGTCTAAAATACAATCTGTGGAAGGAGTTTCTTTCCTGCTGAAGTGCCAAAATGATTAAAAGAAGAAATATTTTATGCACATCATTTTTCGTCATTCTCGTTGACTCTACGTGCAAAGGAATGCACGTTTTCTAATCTTTTCACATATAGTCTCCCTTTAAATACCTGGTAAATGTCAATAGAAGTAAAATTAGGAACAAGATAAATGGGTCGAAGTACCTATACTAGACAAACTTGAGGGTTTCAAAGTATTTTGATACAATTTCCTGGTTCATCTTTTTATCTGCATTTGAACTATTTTAACATTTTCTAAAAGCAAAAAGAAGTCAAATGCAAAGAGTAGTTTTAAGAAATCTGAAGTTATGGAGCTGCCGCCTGCAGTGCTACCATCATATGGGCACTGGTTTGAGTCCCAGCTGCTCCACTTCTAATCCAGCTCCCTGTTAAAGTGCCTGGGAAAGTAGCAGAAGATGGGCCAAGTGCTTGGGTCTCCCGTGTGGGAGACCCAGAAGAAACTCCTGGCTTTGACCTGGCCCAGCCCTTGTTGTCACGGCCATTTGGGGAGAGAAGCAAGAGACTGAAGATCTCTCTAGCTGTCTAACTCTGCCTTTCAAATAAATAAAGCTTAAAAACAAAACAAAAACCCCAAAACCTACTAAGCTATAAAAACGAGTAAGAAAAGTAACGTCCTTGTCTGCTCAGGCAGTTTGAGGTGACATTATGTTTACTGTACAAGAGTCAAGGAGTGGCTGGCTTAGAGATCTCAAAGCTGCATTTCCCCACTATTCTTGGAATTTATCAGGCTTTTTGACTCTCACTATCCATAGTAATAACAGAACAAAAGTGGAAGGTCCATTTACTAATTTGTATTAATTATCCAATGCAGCCTGTCCTACTGTAGTGCATTGGCTGTGCTGCTGACAAATGTTAGTGTCCTCAGCAGTTCATCTCTAAGAAGGAAATAGTACTAGCAGCTACCTGAGGAGATGATACAATGAATTCTAATACAGTGCTGGTACATGGCAAGTACTCAGTGAACGTCAACTGTTATCTTTATTAGCATACTGAGTAGGGTGTTCCACTCAATCTGAAATTCTGCCTACTGCTCAGACTCCCTTCTGATACCAGCAAAGCTTGATTAGTGAAAAATCAGGTTATCTGGTGAGCATGAAAAGAAACAGACAGACATCAGGGTTTTTCACAGGCCACTGTAAAACTCAAAGTATTCTCAATTCGTGT